TCATTCATATCGGCTATATCACTGAGTGTACTCCCTTCCGCAGCTAGTCTGAAAGTATCTTGTGTGTGAAAATGTGTGAAGCTTGAAATGTAAATTCCTTTTACCCCATCATCATTTATCCTAAATACAACATCATGATGGTAATAATGATCTATTTGCACCAGTCAATTGCGGCAACTCATCTCATTTTATTGGCAATCTTTAAGGCCATCATCCTTTCTAGAACCATAACCACCACTACCACGCTAATAGCTACATAATACAATCATGGATACCATCATCTTTTGACCAAGGTCCAATCATCCAAATCTTTACCAGTGTTGCTTCCATGCCTGGAATCTCGCCTGAACAAATGATGACCCTGGTTAGATAAACAAGTTGTTCGTCCCAGAGTGCTCTTGATCTTGTCACTGTTCCCTTGTTGCTATAGAAAGATAGATTCACCAATACCCTGTGCCTTGTGAAATAACCTTACCATTTTCATCCTCTTTGATACCTCCATCATCCATCATTTCCCAAAACCCTTGGTGAATCGTGCCATGTCATCAATGTTGCGTACTCGATGATTGCTTTTGCCGAACCATTGATACCAATATATCCATGTAAAAGCACTCCTTGTGATCATTGCCATGGGATCATCCAACGTAGCAAGGCCAATTTGAGATACGCCTTATATCATCCCCTTTTGCCTTGGATCTTGTGAAAGGGAGTGAACGATACCTTATTAGTATTCTGGGCGCTTAATAAAAGCAGCAAGTGTTTGGTCATACCTGATTGTTTTGTTCCAGTCATGGGTGGATCGCGGTTACTCTCTTGGTCAATGAGGAAGGAGCATGGGGGCACCTATCGCTGTTTGACACGCTCCATCTTTCACCGTTGACGTTGTTGTTGTTGCGATGGAAACGGCATCAGTGAGTGCTCTGGAGGAGTCGGCTTTGAGTAGGTGCTGTGAAGAAAGAAAAACGCCGCCATGGAAACCAACCTGCCAATTCATGTACAGCTGTGGATATACACTAGAAAGAAGGATTTCAACGCATCTGTATGTGTGTATGACGATATTAGTTACGTGAATGATTCGTGTATTTTTTCTGCTACAATGATGCTTCAATTCATACCTTGCACAAAGGGGATTTCATTGAGTGTCTCCGATAAATATCAGCTAAAACTCCACCATTGCTGCTGGTGATCCGTGCACGCTTCACGTATTCCCACCTTCCCCATATAGCAATGACCCAAGGTACAAGAAGTGTGTCTTTATGTATGTCTTTTATCATGATCTCTTTAGCTAACATGGTATAAAGAAGGCAATGACTGCTGTAACCCATATATGGAATTTTGGTGTCACGCTCCTTTTCAGCCGCAGCAACCATCCGCAGCAACGGCTATAAAAGAACCGCCTTTTTCCTTTTCTTTTCTTTACCCTTCCTTTCCAACGAGGTTTTGGCGCGTCAAGACCCGGCACCTGATTCGAGGGATAGTTGTAGGGGGCTCCAACTACTTCTCTCGGTCTTCAAAAAAGGTACAAGCGGTGTCCCCGGCACTGCACCTTGTCGACCTGGTATTGGTGCCCACAGGTAGAGGTGGGGATGGTTGAGCAGCGACCTTCTCGTGGTCATCCCTGTAAGTACTTGGTCTTTTGGCTCAAGGAAACCAACAGCTGCTTCTTTATCGTCTTAGTCTTAGTATTATGATAAATAAACTTGTCTTTTAAATACACATACATACTCTTGTCTTCACTCATGCTCTAAAACGCGTTGCCAAAGTAACAGTTGACTGATCGTTGCTGTGATGTTGCCAAGCAACACTTGTCTGATCGTTGCTATGATCTTGGTTGCCAACGTAACTCATGGCCAATCGTTGTCGTGATCTAAAGGAAAGGTAACCTGTACCTCTCGTCGATTGTAGTCATGAGTCCGTGGAGCTGTTGTAATGTGCTCTTCTTGGCTGTTAGTGTGCTCTGTGCTTGTTTCCCTACGATGCCCCCTCTCCACACACACAGCTGGATCGCTTCAAAGTAGCCTACATGCAGATAGATACCCCTACTATCTCGTCTTTGTTATTATCAGAAACTCAAGTACACGCCTTGAAATAAAGTTGTCTCGTATGGTACTATCGTTATTGCTTTGAGACGTCGCCTTGATTAAAGGATCCTTATGCCCTATTGTCTGAGAGGCACTTCCTGATCCCACGAGTAACATCATTAGAGTGATGATGCATCTATCATTGATTGTCCACAGTCATTTTATACTTATCGACAAAAAAATTGTTGCCTTGGTTCTGGTACTGTAGCTTCGCATCATTAACGTCACCCAGCTGCTTGCTCTATAGGCAACCCTGTAATACCGTTGTCTTGATTAGTGTCACGGCAAATGCAAGCAGCAAGCGCGTACTATGTAGGACAAACAATGGAGCGTACAATCATTGCATAATTCACAAGGTATGACGGTTGAGGATGATAATGCCACGGCACACAATGACCCACAAACAAAAAGCAAGAGAAGATTGAATTAATGATGAATTACACACAATACAAAGGACGCATTTTTGATAAAAGAAACAATGGTGATAGGTACAACGATGAAAATATGAGATGGGATGTGCTTGCTAAAACATGGACGAATACAAATGATGCATCTAATCTTTGTTCTTCTTGTCTTTCTTCTTTTCCTTCTTTTCCTTCTTCTCCTTTTTCTCCTTCTTTTCCTTTTTCTCTTTCTTTTCCTTCTTCTCCTTCTTGTCAGCCTTTGCCTTCTTGTCAGCATTCTCGACTTCAGGCTCCTCATCAGCCTTACGCTTGACACCAGCTATTGATGAAAGAAGTATGTAAATGGCCAAATCCTTGTCATCGTGTAATCATAAGCAATACATACCCTTGGTAGTTTCAACCGAAACCTCCTCAGTCTCCTCACCATCCAGAGAATCAATGACCTTCTTCATGACATCAATGTTCTTTTCGGGAGTAGCACCATTGTCATAGAAAGCAAGACGTTCCTCAACTTGAGCCTTCAAGGCTTGACCAAATTTGTCGGTGGGAGCATCTAATAGAAGAAGGACCATCAGCATACATGTATACATTACAATGACGTTATGTACTAACCAGTGAAGCAATCGATACGGGAAGCAATGGTACACTTGTTTGCGAGATATCGGGAGATGCGACCCTTGTTCTTTGCACCAGCACGACCAATGAATGAAGAGTTGTAGATGAGACCATACTTTGGAGTGTTACCCTTTGTCTTAAGAGCACGGAAGAGAGCCTTTTCTGCACCGAGGATCTGAAGAGTGGATGCTGGGTATTTGGAGAGGTTGGTGAGGGAACCAGCATGAGAGATTAATCGAGCACCGACAACTTCGCCAATGAGGGCAGCAAGGTTGGGAGCGACGTGGCTCATCTTGGAGATCAAGTATTCGTGCAAGCGTTTACGGTATTCGGCAAGGCTGATAACACGATCGGCAAAGTTCATGACGTTGATCATATCGACAGGTGAGATATCGGTACCCATGGAAGCACGTGCTGCATCCAAGATTTGCTGGGCTGTGCTCTCATCACCATCCAAAATCTCTGCAAGTGTCTCGAGTTGCTCTTCACCCAATTCAGACTTGTTCTTGATAGCCTTGGCGAGTTTGGCGTATTTGTAGTTGTCGGTGACAATCTTGACAAGTTCGGGGAAATGCCACGAGTACCATTCCTTGACACGCATAGCAAAGGTGTTGACATCCTTATCCAATTGATCAAGCAATGCAATGGCCTGAATAATCATATTGTCGGATCGGTTGACGTTGAACTTGACCTTGGCACGAGAGTAGCTGTGACCAAGACCCAATTGAGCCTTGCCCAAATCACCTTCCTTGAGTTGTGACAAGAGCTTCTCAGACCACAAACGAATACCACGGATCAATTCTTGGACAAGCTCATCGGTGGTGCACTCGACACCAAGTTCACCCTTGATAGCACCAGCCAAGTTTCTTTCAGAGACACCGAGTTGGATTTTGTTCTTCTTACCAGCCTTGGGAAGGTTCATTTCGAGGAAAGCCTTCAAGGATGGGTTGACAATGCCTATCATGGAAAATTTTAGTTTCCCTCTAAAATAAACCTTTTTGCGTATCTATACACACCTTCAGAAACGTCATTGGCATTCTCCAAAGCATCAGCTGCACTCTTGAAAGGGGCAAACGACTTGAGCTTGACCATTTTGCCAAACTTGGCGAGATCGGTAACGGTCGACTGAACTTGCTCCAACTTGGCACCGATCTCCTCAGATTGAACACGCTCAAACAGGGCATAGCCTGAAGCTGTCTCGAATAAAATGTAGTTGGCCTAGTAGATCGCATTGTATCGTTGTTGTTTAGCAATGGCCGGCAATGGGTAGCAAGCTGTCAAAACTTACCATCGAGTTTTTAAGGAAGGTGTGTTAAAGCGTCAACCAGAAAAAAATTCCATTTCGCAGAGCGGCCGGGTGGCGTCGACATCTCGTGACTGTTGCATTTCAACTTGCCCACATTTAAAAGACACCCCGAACACAAGCAGCAAGCAGCCTTCACAACTAATAGTAATTGACAACATTTTCATTATTGAATCCAATGTAATAAACTCCTCTTGAATACAAACATCCTAATATCATAAAGTGACGAGATGCTCTAATACGCGGTTAAATCCAATGGATGCAGCTTTTTACTTGAGCAAACACTTTGTATGATGACTCTAACAACAACGACATATAGCCAATATCGCAAAGCATCCCAAAACATAGATGGCAACTGTCTCTTGGAACACAAGATGCATGACCTATCATTCTTATGACAATGGTATCAATCACGTGCATGCTTGCGGTATCAAGGGATACGAAGAAAGAAGCAAGATGTTAATAAAGTCGCTCGTTATGGCATCATAACTCATGGAGTAGCGGGCCAGGGTACTACTCAATGATCCCAATTCTATGGAGATGTTGGCGCAGCAGCACATGTTGAGCTATTTTATCCTTTACCGCGGCATGCCGTATACATCCTGTTGATCACAGGATCCATATTATCGGCTGTGAAGGACTTTGCCACAGCTCTTATCTACCTAACATCATCACCCACCAGCACTAACCCCTGAGAACTTATCGTTATTCGCCATGCACAGGAAATCATCCAAGAGCTGGGTATCATGTACGCCACATGGGATGATGTTATACATGCCAATAACTCAAATTTACAACACATGGACCGATGTAACACATCCATATCTCCGTTTTTCAGAGTTATCTATGTACGATTGTACGCCGTCATGATGGTACATATTTCTCCACAAAACACTTTATTACAAGGGAAATCGATAAGGGTGGATTGTGTATATCTACGATTGAAGCTGCATTGTTGTCATAGGAAACAGGGTAACGAAGAAGAAAAGTGTATACAATTGGGAATCATCGAAGGTACGTGTACAGGTGTGTGCTAACAGAATTCATCAATGGCACAGCAAATGCAAATGGCAGCCAAGCTACATACACATTTCTTGTTAATCAATCTCGTTGCTTGCATAGAACAAAGAACCCTACCATCCAAGACAACAACCGTGATCACTCGACTTTTCTTCAGGCTGTTGGACAATGATCGTTTGTGGTGGAGGTCTGTATTATGATGTATGTACATACGTTATCAATGATCCATGTCATTCGTTGTCGTATATAGCAACTTACGCTGGTTGGTAGTAACCACCATCAGGAGGTGGAGCATTATACAAGGGCTGTTGACCACCTTCAGGTGCAGGAGGGGGATAATACGACGACATGTTGATGGCAGAAAAAGATGAAAGAAGCGAGATGCTACAGAATTTGTTCCTGTTTACCCTTTTATATCATGTTCATCAATGCTTGTGTGTCCATTCAGGAGTACATCTACAGGTGGGGGAGAGGCGTTTGTGGTAAGCAATCATCCTATTTACCGTGTTGGAGCTCCGTTATTCCGAGAAAGTATCAGACAAAGCCCCAGTACCAAAGCTTGGCATCGTGCCACACAAACAAGAGCTTCTTCCTTTCTCGCTTTGTAAAGCATTTATTGTTTATAGATGTGTCGAAAAAGGCAATGAGGGTTCATTCTTCTTTAATGACATTTCAAGACAAGCAATAAGCAGCGCGCTAATGTGGCAATGCAGAATGTAGATGATGGTACATAGCATGATCAACCACATATCGTGGTGGTGATAACATAAGCTTGTCACTGAATGGATCCTGATGCTTTGGGTAGTCCTGGATAAAGTGCGGCTGATGTCATACTTTTATTTATGCTATGTTTGCGGCGGCATTTTCACACACACACATGGCCTCTGCAAATGATGTATCATGCATGGAAACCCCGTTGCCATAGCAGCGGCCTTATCACTTGCCATTAACATTGATCGACATCTACATGAATGAATGCTCTCTGGGGATACACGTTTCAATGATAATTATAAAAGGTCAATGATCACAACATGCGAGAATGATTGGTAGTGGTTGTGTATGAGCATGTTGCTAGGAGATTGTTGTCACCTTTCCTAATTGGGAGGGCAACAACTTTTGCATGAACAAAAAAAAGTGAGAACAAGGGATCATCATCTTAAGTGGTCAATAATAGAATCGTAATAGTATTGTGTGCAATGAACCGAGAGAGGATGAATATATATATACAATGAAACCAGGGGCTATAGTACAAAAAGCATTGAAGTACAAATCGATCATCCATCATTTGGTGGTGGGTTGTTGTTGTAAGCAGCTGGATCAGAATGACGACGACGTGGTATTGCCTGTACATGATGCATGTGGATTTGTTGGTGTTGTTGTTGCTGCTGCTGTGTATGTGATGGTGATGCTGGGGACACTACAATCACTGGACGATCCAGCATGGCATCCCTATAGGTGGGCAACTCGGATCCAATTGAGAGTCGTGGTGCTGCTGGATGTTGGTGTTGTTGTGCTGTCATCACGTGCCTATTCCAATCCAACTCGGATACTTCGGTGCATGGCACATGATGGTGTTGTTGTGCTGTGGATATCATGTCTGCTTTTGAACTTGATGAAGGAGGTGAAAATAACACCTCTACAGGAGGTGCTGATGGTTCTCGGAAATCTGAATCATTGGCATGATGCGAGGGTGCATCTACTGCTGCATTTGATTTCTCATCATGTGGCATTGTTGTTGTTGTTGTTGCTGCCGCCGCCGCCGTGAGTCCACAACACGTACATGATGCGTTGTTATTGTTAAAATGATCACCAGCCATATGTAAATAAAAAGCATCCGATACCGTTTGGAACATGACAGAGCGATTGTCCGTTGGGTTGTATAAGGTGATATGCTGATCATCATTGTAATTGGGGTTGATAGGGCAAATGTCGTTTGTTGAATGGATACTTGGTTGCGCAACAGCGCTAATGGCATCATCGGCTGCAGCTGCAGTGGCTGTGGTGGTGGTAGTGATATCGGATGTGTTATTGAGAGGAACCTGCCCTTGCTTGTACTTTGGGTATATCTGACCCAGTAAGGATCGCATGTTGCTGTGAATGATAGGCATGAGATGAGTGTCCTGTAGCCTAGGGTCACAATATTGATATTCCAATGTCCACGTTGGGTTGCCATTATGGTGTGCATGATGCGTAATCATGGTTGCTACAATCGATGTTGTGATGCGGTTGAGACGGCGTGTATAAAAGAATTGATAAATGAGCGTCAACACTGGTAGAGGCAATATGACGCAGCCTTGCTCGAAACCACCTTTAAGTATGATGAGAATGGCGCTCACCAATTGAAAGATCACGGTGGAGAACATGGTCGAATGGTATACGGCAGGCCATATGCTACCACCGGTCTCCACTTTGGTGACGTAAATGTACATGAGCATATACTTGTACACAAAAGAAGCTGCCGAGAAATAGATCAATGCAAATGGCAACACCAACGGTGACGTGGTTGAGTACATGAGAGCAATTGTGAAAAAGAAGAGCACAATGTTGTAGTTTTGTGCAAATTCAAAGTTGGGTGGTGACAACAACTTCTTGAGCCGGCGTGGAGTCGATCGGATAAACAAACGTCGTAATCGAATCATAACCACCGGTATCACCTGCACCACTTCAAGTGATACGCCAAACGCCTTGACACAGACAACATTGATCCAGAAGCATGAAAAGTCTGCAATGTTTTTTGCAAGCTGTGCAACATACTCGGAAATGATTTCATCTGCTAGAACACCATCCAAGACAAGTTGTCGAAGCTGACCATAGATGCCGAGGAAAACGGATGTAATTGTAAACACCACCAAATGGTTGGCAATGAAAAATGTATAAAGCATGATTAGCACCTTTTGGTCGGCATGGCTACGTGTCAAGTATCCTTGGCTGTTGACGAGGCGCCGAAAGAATCGAGGGAGTGCAAAGAAAAGAATTGCCATTGTACAAGGTGCTATGTATGCTTCCACAAGACCCAAAATGAACCAATATTTGTCAATGTATGCCTTTGATTCAGGATACATTCGTATCATGTTGACAATATTGGATATCATGGCAAGGGCAGCCACTAATAATATATAACCATTATCAGCTATAGAGTCCTTTTAAGTGTGTGTATGTGTATACACATACCTGGTAATGTCCACGCCACTGTAAACGCGGTAAAAAATGCTCTCCCGATCCACAGCTTTCGGACCCGCTTTTCTCGGCTAATGGACATGTTTGACCAAATCAAGTCGTTGGCTGGTGGTGAAACCTGTGCAGTGGCATGTGCGACCTTTCGTTTGTTGAGTGACTGCAAAGCACTCTGGGCCCATGCAGTAGATGAAAACGTGACCCATCCATAATCCGTTGTATTGATATTCTTGTTGGCAGGGAGATGGCGTATGGCGTGATACAGGTCACTGACTTGTTTGGTGTAATGGTCAATGGTTTCCAATTGCTTCTTCTTCCCGCTGGACCCGGGAAAACAACTCAACCAGCTTTTGATGGTCCGAACAATAGGCCGTCGTCCCGAAGCATCTGATTAACACACGCCGCGCACATACCAACATGTTGTGTGTGAGTAACGATATCGGCAATAATAAATGCCATTGCTTTTTTCTTACCTCGTGCATAAGCTGCCAATGCATCTTCAAGACGACATACAGCTTTTTTGTATTTCCGAACAAGGGACATGAGTTTCGGATTATCTTGGCCGATATGTATTTGCTGAATTGGGTAATGAATGTTGCATGTGGATTCAAGCCATGTCTTGAGTTCCTCGCTCGAGCGAATGTTTTTGGGAATGTTGGAGATGAGGATGGATCGAGAAGATAAATTGTAGGCGGGAGCGCTGTAAAACTGTTTACGCATGATGAGATAGTCGTTGGATGCCCGATGCAGGAACACGAGAATCAAGATGGTAAATAGCCATGTGGCAACTACGGGTGGCCAATACCAATTATCCTGAGGATTCAATGGCTCTTTGCCGGCAACAAGGTTTATGCTGGATATTGAAAGAAAACCAATGTCGAACGCAATGGGTGGCCAATCTCTGTGTAACATCATGGGTCAGTACTTTATGGGCTGTGATAAAAAAAGCGGATGGGAAAAATCATTGCTCCCGTCCCAAGTGGGGTTGTTGCTTACCCGGTGTGTTGCGTTGCAAGGACATTGAGTGGCATCAAGATGGCTACTGCCACAATGGTCATGATGATCAATAAATTACGCAGCGTACGCATAAATCGTAGAAACATGACTGCATCAAAGCCGATTCGATCGATAAGAAAGTCATCTGAAACTCGAGCAAGCTGTTTTATCCAGTCAAACCATCCTAGCTCACTATTGGTTTTTCTAATATCCATGCGTTAGGATGATAGCATAATCATAAAGGGAGGTTATTATCATTACCCAGTGTCGGTGGTGATAGATGACTTTGTTGCAGGGGAAGCGAGATAATGACGAGGACGTAACCAGCTGACACAGCCAAGTACAAAGATGGAGACGACAAGGTTGACTAGAAGCTGAATCCCCAGAGCGCGTATGGTGAACTGTGCGTCATAAGCTGTTTGCTCTCGGAGCGCTTCGTAGACCTCCATGAAAAGTGTGGCCGATCAAGAATGAATGAAATATGATCTGAATGCTAAAAGTGTTGCGTGTGTGCAAAAAAGAGAGAAAAAAGGGAAACAAGAGCTGTGATGAAAGAAAAGGGAAACAAGAAAGCAACTGGTGGGTGGCACAAGGTGCATCGAAAGAAACATTTTTTCTGTGCCAGGCATCCCGCAGCTCGTTTGTAGTCTCCGCTGTCATACTCGAAACCACCCCTTCACCCCCTTTACTGCACCATTATCCTTTAAAGTTGAATGAATGTTTATTTTATTGGCACGCATATACATAACAAGATCCCTGTATTCGGTAACTTCCCCTTTCTATGATCCACATTGCAGCCATTGTGGTGTCGTGTATTCAAAAATAAAATAGGGTTTGTGTAGTGAAAAGCCCAAAACAATGAGCTGCTGCTGCTCCCATTGTTCACTTGCATCTCTTCGCTCTCCACATCGTCATTTAACATAATCCCAAATGAAACGTTTCCATGATGATGGCGATATTATTACTGATTGTAGCTATATGGTGATGTATGTATTGTCAATGGTGATTCATTGTTGAGTGTTGTTGTCGTTGTACTGAAAGTTTATGCACGTTGCTGCAAATGTAAGGCACACAACAATGACTCGAGTGGCGTATCGTTTTCCCTTCTTCACACACACGACGCGACACGAGCAACCCTTTTTCTTCCACACCTCTCATGGGCGACCATTACGTGCCTTTCCGTCATTGTGACAAGCGCCGCCTTGTTGTGTTTGTCTTGTTGGCGTTCATTGCTGGTGCGACCTTCTACTCATGTACTCATCTCCCAGCATTCAGCATTGCCGACACACCTACTATTGCTCATGCACAAGAAACGGTGGTTCCTCCTGGCATCAGTCATACAAGTTTCGAACATGGGCTTGCACAATGTGAAGCGCTTCAACGACCTCGACCCGTTCCACAGCCTGTTTCAGAAAGAACGGTGAACCCACGTGGCGCTGTCAATAGCACGCTGTTGATCAAGAATGGCTATATTTGGCTCGGCAACGAATACATGGATGGCGGCGATGTGCTTATCCAAGATGGTGTGATACGCGAGATTGCTATGGGAATCGAGCCATCGAGAGCTGACAAGGTGGTGGATGCTGGTGGTCGCGTCATTACTCCCGGCATTATCGATATGCACTCGCACATGATGGTGGATAGCATTGGTGGCATCACTGCTGCTATTGATGGTCATGAAATGTCAGGGCCTACTAAGCCGTATGTAAGTTGTCGTTGTTGGCATGGATACATGGCTGATGCTTACAAAGAGACGTGTGCGTGTGTCACTATAGGTACGTGCTATTGATGCCATGCGTCCTACAGACCTCGCTATCAAGGTGGTCGCAAGTGGCGGCGTTACAACTAACTTGGTGCTTCCTGGATCAGCCAACGTTATGGGTGGAGAAGCTGCAGTTGTGAAACTTCGACCTATGCCAACATTATCAGTGGAGGATATGCTTGTTACTGCCAATGCAACAGAGAATGAATTCCCTTGGCGTTACATGAAGTTCGCGTGCGGCGACAATGCGAAAAGTTTCTATGGGAAACAGCTCAAAATGCCCATGACACGTATGTTTTCGTGCTATGTATTCCCTTCAACATGTTTTAATTAACCTGGATCATAGGAATGGGTGAAGCGTATCTATTCCGAAAGAGATTTGAGGAGGCTCAAGAATTGATGCGCCAACAAGATGATTGGTGTGATACAGCCATGCGTCTCAACAAGACAATGCACCACGATGCCTCATCACCCGAGATCCAGTTATCCGAACCATTCCCAGAATCGCTCAAACTCGACAGCTTGATTGCATTGCTGCGTCACAATGTCAAATTGAATATCCATTGCTATCTACCACAAGATATCGAGGCTATTGTTCGTCATTCACTTGAATTCGATTTCGATATTGCCGCCCTTCATCATGCTTCCAGTGCTTGGCAGGTACCTGAAATTATCAAGCGAGCCAAAAACAACATTACAGTTGCCACTTCCACAGGTAATTCAAGCACGTATGCATACGTATGAATAACGTATACTAATAATCGTCTTCTCTTTGTGTAGATTTTTGGGGTACTACGGTATGATGGATCATTGCTTGATCGTGTAAGAGGATCATGACTAATGAAGTGTATAGGTCGAAGTCTGGGATCACAATGTGTATGCACCTGGCATTCTGACGGAGGCTGGTATTCCTGTCACGCTTATTACCGATCACCCGGTGACGAATGGAGTAAGTATAGAAAGGAGGAAAATCAAAGACACATGATATTCATGCACCATGATGGATAGCGTGATTTGGTGTACGAAGCACAAAGGGCGTATCATTATGGTTGGGATGAGCATTTAGCTCTAGCTTCTGTAACCAGTGCTGCTGCTACGGCTCTTGGATTGGATTATCGTATTGGCAGGTGTGTGTATAGTATTCACTTTTACCAGTCATTGTTATTAACAATTAGTGTATAGTATTGAAGTTGGAAAGGATGCAGATTTGGTTATTTGGGAACGACATCCATTGCGACTAGGAGCTCGACCCAAACACGTGATCGTGGATGGCTTCGAACTTGATTTCAATGCGTCGTGGTTCAAGGGTGTGGTACAAGAAGAATTCGCTGAAAAAGACGAGACACAAGAAGAAGGATCCTCATCACCAATTGATGTCAACGATGTGCATGCATTGCCCAATCGACCAACAAACGCCTTGTCTTTGGAAAGCCATGATGCCAACCATCCTTCATTATTAAAGGAAGCATGCCATCCCAATACCGAGTCCTTTGTATTGCGCAACATTAGCAAACTTTATGCTGCTCCTGGAGAAGTATATACCGGTGCAGTCGATTTGGTCGTTGAGGATGGTCATGTAAAATGTGTTGGGACAACATGTGAACAAGCGGAATGGCCTTCGTCAGCTCCTATTTTCCAAATGCATGGCGGCGTGGTGACACCTGTAAGTATTTGTAACGTATGTTGAGGAACAATTAGTATTAAAACACCGTATAATAGGGTATCATTTCTAGTGGTGTTTCAATGGGCTTAAGTGAAATGATCAATGAACCTGGAACGCAAGATGGATTTGCAAGAAACAATATCGATGATCCTGATTTATCAACGTCAATTGTGCGTGCTGTTGATGGCCTTCAATTCAATGGGTTACATATGCGAAAAGCATTCAAAGCAGGTAATTGCTATACAAGAAATGGTGATCACGTGTTTACTTTTGAATTGATAGGTGTAACTACATCCATCACACAACCTATGGCCGCTGGCGACCAAATGTTGGCTGGTGTTTCAGTCGCTTTTCGTACAGGAATCAAACATACATGTAAGTGTCAACGAGATTTGATATAGCTGTAATAGTGCTAGTAGTTGTTAATGAGTAGTATCATAGTGCTCGACTCCAATGATACCTATGTCAAGACCGAAACCGCGCTTCACTTTGTAATCACGCATGGCAGCTCAATGACCATATCCCAGCAAATGGCAGCATTGCGTTCTCTGTTACAAGATAATGAAGATAAGGATGCAGCCACCAATATCTTTGCACGTGCAGCTCAAGGTCAACTTGCAGTGGTGGTTGAGACGGATGATGCGGATGAGATTGCATCGATTATCAACATGAAGCAACATGCATTACCCAAGGTCAAGTTTATTATTCTGGGAGGTGCCGAATCCCATTTGGTAGCAAGCCATTTAGCACGTGTACAGATTCCTGTGATTCTTATGCCAGCGCGATGTGTGCCTTTGAGCTGGCAAGCACGTCGATGTCTCTATGGTCCGCCGTATTCCAAAGATACAGCCATTGATATCTTGTTACGGCATGGTGTGCTTGTTGGTCTAGCAAGTGAGGATCGAAAGGATGGCAGTGCGCGTAATCTGATTTGGGAGGCTGGATGGAATTTGGCGCACAATAAGGACATGACCCAAGAAATGGCCGTGGGCTTGGTCACGTGGAACATTGCCCAGATGTTTGGCTTGGATGAACAAGTAGGTATGATTCGTCAAGGATACAAGGCTGATTTCATCGCCTATAACGGTAATCCCTTTGAGTTTGGTACCACGATTGATATGGTGTATGGTGGTGGTCATCCTGGCCCTCTTTGTTCTCCTCGACAAACGTAACGACATGTATACTATAGGATGCATTTTAAAGTAATAAAAAGACTAGCGGCCCCAATTGCTTTGTTCATCAACTTCTCATTGCATGGCATACACAACACCACTTATAAAGTAATGATCCTACAATCGCGTAGTATCCATATTTAGCGATGGGCTGCTATGTAGCTGGCAGTTTACAAATCATTTTGCACATGATTTTTCTGATGTTATTGCATGACATTTCTGTGTTTGAGCGTTTTTCAGTCAAATCATCTCGGATCAAGAAAGTTTAATGATGGAAATGATGAGTTGGAGCAGGACAATCGCTCACATGCATTGGGTTGGGCAACAAAGATGATTGGGAGGACTGGGTTATTAGCTGGCATTTTAGAAACTACTCTTAAACAGTGTACGAGTATCATGCATCGCCTGTGTTGACTGACTCAAGTTACACAACATGTCCCTCTGCATCTTTGGCTCTATTATATTCATACTAGTTGACAATGAACAAAGCTCACTCTTCATATAGCATCACGCTTAAAGCATAGGTAAAACATAAAGGTGCCTGTATCTCTAAACTTTGCAATGAACCGTGGGGTCTTTAATCGAACAAAGCTGCTCGTCCGGGTCTAAGCGAGCTTGTGTCAAAGTATGAAGTTCATCGTGGCCATTCCCAGATTTCGCAATGTCGCCACCAGCCAAACTGGATCTGGGGGTCGACCTCTTCGACGACGACGACGACCAAAAAATATTTTTTGGGCTGTTTGCGAGATTGAACGTGAAACTTTCACACAAGGTGCTGTTGGCCAAGCCGAGCCCATTGCTCTAATAAAAACCCCACGTTTCATTGTAAAGTTTGGAGAAACAGGCACCTTTATGTTTGTAAGCGTGATGCTATATGAAGAGTGGTCTTTGTTCATTGTCAAGTAGGTGGACCCTGGCAGAGCAAAAGATGCAGAGGGACGTGTTTGTGTAACTGGGTTAAAAAGTTTGGACTTCAGGGACCATGCATGACAGGTACGCAACCCTCATTTTCAGGTCATACATTGGCAGCTAATAGCCACTTTTGTGCATTCACAACTTTTGTGCATTCTATTGTGGGTGGACAATGCTCCTGCTCCAGACATTCGTTTCCATGATTAAAGTAGCTTGATCCGAGCTGATTTGGTTGAGTTACGCTCACACAAGATTACATCGGTTGAGCTACATCGAGCGTGCTTGATGTCCAGAGTGATGTAATCTCTCTTTGACCGCAGCTCAGTCAAATCAGCTCGGATCAACCTGCTTTAATCATGGAAATGAATGTCTAGAGCAGGGGCATCGTTCCCATGCAGTGGATCTCGCAACAATGATGATTGGATAAAAGTGGCCGTTAGCTAGCAATACATGCCTGTTCGTAGATGATCCATAAAGTAATTATACATTGACCCTTTCATTCATGCAAACGTAGCTGTGTTACACAACACGACCCTCTGCATCTTTTGCTCTGCCAGGGTCCAGCTACTTCACAATGAACAAAGACCACTTGTCATATAGCATCACGCACACAAACATAAAGGTGCCTGTATCTCCAAACTTTACAATGAAACGTGGGGTTTTTATTAGAGCAATGGGCTCGGCTTGGCCAACAGCACCTTGTGTGAAAGTTTCACGTTCAATCTCGCAACTAGCCCAAAAAATATTTTTTGGGTCGTCGTCGTCGTCGAAGAGGTCGACCCCCAGATCCAGTTTGGCTGGTGGCGACATTGCGAAATCTGGGAATGGCCACGATGAGCTTCATACTTTGACACAAGATCGCTTTGACCCGGACGAGCAGCTTTGTTCGATTAAAGACCCCACGGTTCATTGCAAAGTTTAGAGATACAGGCACCTTTATGTTTTACCTATGCTTTAAGTGTAATGCTATATGAAGAGTGAGCTTTGTTCATTGTGAAGTAGAATGACTATAATACAGCAAAAGATGCAGAGGGACGTCTTTGTGTAACTCAGTAGTTTTGCATGACTAGAACGATCAATGAATGTTAACTTGTACATAGCTCATCATTGGCAGCCAATAGCCCATTCCTCACATTCACCGTTGTTGCCCAAACCAATGCGTGTGAACTATTCCTCTCCTCCAGCCCATCATTCCCATCTTTCAACTTTCTTGATCCGAGATGATTTGGCTGAGCTACGGTCAAACAAAGAATACGTCAATTCTTGAAAGACAGACCCTGCGAATGTCTCCGTCTTTCAAACTTTTGGACGCTCCCATTCCAAATTTTCAAATGAAGCGTGAAGTTTTTATTAGAAACAGTTGATCAGCATGCTCGAGAGCACCCTTCTGTCCAATTTTCAAGTTGGAAGCAAGCAACTTCGGGGCAGTGGGCCCTCCACTCTTTTGTACCCGTTATCCACCACTTGAGCCACCCCGCATTTTCACAATGAAGCCTGAAGATTTTAATTGAATGAAGTTGGTCAGCATGTCCTAGCGAACCTCCTGACAAAGTTTCAAGATCGAAAAGGGGAATCCCAAGGTAATACATACTATTTCCATAGATCATGAATCCGGGGCTGACCTCCATTTCCACTTACATAGTAAACCCCACATTGTACCCTCCCATTCAATATTTTCAAATGAAGTGTTGGTTCCTTATTAATAAAAGATTGATCGGCATGTCCAAGAGCACATTGTGTGAAAGTTTGAGGTTCGATAGGGGCAATCTCAATATCAAGGTTTGGATGTACAGTGTTCATGTATTTATACAAGAGGTGCGCGACCTATTCAATTTCCACTTCTTCCACTCCCACAACTTCTTGTCTCTTCCTTTCATTCTCAATTGTTCACCCATTCAAGTATACAACTACCACCTGCGAACGATTGTATTGCTTCAATCCATCATGTCAATCCTACAATTGCCGTGATCCGATTGTCTTTTGACTGAATGGCAAGTCCATGGCGTGTACACACCTTGTCACTATACTACAACACGCGCCTTCTTAGTACTACACCTTCTTTTGCCACACTTCCTTTGCCACGATCAAACGTAACAGCAGCTGCCATTAGCAAGCATGTCTTTACTCCATTGTCTCAAACGGCGTTCTCCACTTGCAGCAACTTGCCTTACAACCCCTTTTCACGTGGACAGCAGCTAGCCATTGTATAGAAGCAGCTTTATTTACGCGTAGCAATCTGCTTCAATATATACATCTTGTTATGGATATGGTTTGGATATGGATACTGCTTTGGTATATGGGATGGAAAGAAATGGGTATATACAACGCGTGGAAAAAGAGCCTTTGCCCTTGTGTATCCTTTACCAACATGTTGTCAACTTGACCATTATGCATGAGTCTATGATCCAGAACGATTGACGCGTCCAATTGTCATACTTTACGCGAAACTACTATCATCATCCTTTGTGCAACAACCTGTCAACCATGTACAACCTTCATCATCCAACAACGCCATGTTTTGACACGCCATGCACCAGGTGCCATGTCACGGCCATCCATTGACCTTTGCAGAATGCACGCCCAAAGGATAGGAGGTTCCCAAATAGATGTATCTCCCTCATTAGAGCAATCCATTGTATCTCTCATTCTCTATCTTGTAAATGATGTTGGATTAAAAAGGGTTACTTTTAGAGAATACGGCATTGCGTTTAGACAGCCTTCTTGTTCCTGTAGAGTTAGACCTCGTCGTCGTCGTGTGTAGGCATTTGATGCATTGTATTAAGGGTGATCCATGGGATGACAAACACGTTCCTCTTTTGTGATTTGTAGATCTTTTATGTATTAAGATATTGATCTACGGCGGGAGATGTATTGACACATACACATCACATCGATTATGCAAGATACTGAGCCTTCTTGTAAGCTTAGAGCACGCGATTTATTATTAGACTTTTCGATACAGTAAAGTGTGTACGTATACTATGGAAACATCTTTTCATATTGGATATGGCATGGTGTAGGAATTGTAATTGCATCCATGATCATTCTACTGCTACGCGCGGGAGGAGATAAGTATAGAAATGTGCCTGGATCTGTCGGATGCACAAGAAGCAAACCCCTTGTGTTACTTTGGAGTGGCATCCTGTGAGACGCGAAACCTCTTTTTATAAACTCGACATTGTACATATCATTCCCGCTCCTTGTTTTTCGTTTGTTCAACTTACACACACACACACATATAACTTGTAACTGACATGGCCCATTACGGCAACTACAATGACAGCGGCGGCTATGGTCAATACGATCCGCCTTATCCCATGCAGCACATGCAGACACCCACCATGGCAAGCGATGACGGCTACGGCATTGATCACAATCGCAAAGCAGGTCGTCAGCATGGGCAATACCAACATTTGAGCGATGGCGGTGCTGGTGGTGCCCCTGTCTTGTATGTTGAGGAGCCGCGTCGACGATCGTGTATGGACAAGCTATGCTGTGGATGTTGTACCTGTTTACCAAAGTGGATCCGCTATATCTGTTGTATCATCTTGTTACTCATCATTTGTATTGCCATTGTCATTGGTGTGCTCGCTGGTATCTTCAAGGTCCCTGATGTCAAATTCAATGGTATCCAAGGCGAACCGCAATTCAGTATCAATGGCACCACGGCCAACTTTGTATTCAATTTGAACATCACCATTGACAATCCCAATGTCGAGAGTATCACTTTTGAGGATGTGGTAGCCAAGGTATGTAGGTACAAGAGGAGATCGACATGGGGCTGAGGTGGGGGAGGAAGGGAAGGGTTATCTGGGTTATGTATCATCATTCCGCTCTTGCTCTCGTTCTCTCCTTTAACTCTTTCTTTTTCTTCTTCTTCTTTCTTTAGGCATATTATCCAGGGCACAAGGAAACTATTGGAGGCGGAAAATTAAATGATGTTCATATCGAACGATACGCTGTCACCGAGATCATCTTCCCATTCACTCTAAGTGTGGATGCCAAGGATTCGGCTACTCAATCGATTATCATGGACATGATGGGCAAATGCGGTTTGACAGGAAGCGAACCCACCGATATCACCATCAATTACGATGTCGTTCCCACCGTCAATATCATTGGTATCAAGATATCACCTACCATTTCGAACCAGGCCAATCTACCATGCAACAGCAATGTAAGTAGAGAGAGAGGATGTACAATGTATGTGTAACAAGAGGTGCTAATTTAGAATGTTTGTGTGATAGGATATCCCCGATCTATCATCCATTACTCAGCTCACCAGCTTGATCCCTTCTGACGTCCTACCAACCAGTGCTTAAGACCTCTTCTTTTTCTCCTCCAATTTGCATTTCTCAATCCATTGTACTAAAATCGATAACAATTTGCATCCTTATTTTACCATGAGCATCTTTAATAAGCTGTTTGTGTGAGTGTGAGTGAGTGTGTGCGACTGTGTACAATGGTGTGGGGAATATGTGTTTGAACAAAGTTTGGTGATTGTGTGTGGTGTGATATGTATAAACGGTGCTGCTGTGTGTGTGGGTGTTTTGTTGTTGTGCAAATGTGTGTGTGTGTGTGTGTGTGTGTATGGAATGGAGGGGGGGAATAGAATGAAACTAAGATAGCAAAAAGCTGTTCTTGCCTTCTCGCATGGATGTCAATAACCTCGTTCGCATTTTTTCCTTGCTCGAATAATCAGGCATCTTGAGATAGTTGGCACAGGTCATCACCGATGGTAAATAGTCGTCAGGTGAAAGGGGTGATTCGGCCGTTTTGCATACCACAGTAAACACAGGTCGCATAGCTTTCCATCCTACAATGCACCACCACCCATTAGTAAGTATTCCCAAGTGAATGAAGCTATAGTATTTTACCTCCAATGGGCAATCGAGGGCTTCCAGTGGTGAATTGCAAAAACTCGCGTCGTTCATCATCATTCATTTCGGACAAAATGGTAAGCAAGTTTTTGAACGAGACACTTTCCATTGAGAATCCATGGTCAGCCTTGATAGCATCCGCCAATGCTAAAAGAAAAAACCAATCAATAACCCATTCCTCACCCCTTATTTCACTACAATGACACTTACTGGCATAGGACCAATCTTCCGAAGAAACGCCGTACAATGACACCAATTCATTGTATGTTAAAATCTTGAGGTCATCCAATGCAAAAAGCTGATCAAAACCTTGTCGGAAAGCATCCATTTGTTTTGCAATGCCAGAGCCTGCAAGCTTGTCTTGGAGCAAATCTATGTATTCTTCCACATTGTTGATCGTCACTGGAATATCGGCACCACCCGCCTTCAATTCGAGATTAGCTTCACCAGGAAGAGTAAAGTCTAAGCATAGATCTTCAATGCCGCATCCGTCTACTTGAATCTTGCTGGCGGCATCCAATTTCTCTTGGTTGGTCTATTGTTTCCAATTAGTATGAGGTTCTCTCTCATCATCATAAGTAACTTTATACCTTTGATTTGTCTGCATAAATTGCACGCTTTTGGTCAACATAGGCTTGTAATCGCTGGATGGATTGACCAAGGACAGGATCAATTTCCTACATAGATGATGATCGATTAGCAATGTATATAGAGAAAAGCACATGATATCCAAACTTACAGCTACAAGAGACGTGCTGGGTTGTTCATGACCGATGGCGACCTTGAAAAAGGCGGCGCTGAATGGCAAGTCAATGATACGGAAATCGAGCATCGCTTTGGCCATGAATTGACCCAACGTCTTGAACAAGTTGATAATCTTGGTGCTTCCTGATTTGGCGAGTGGTTTTGGGAATAGACCATGTTTGGCAATAACGTATTCTTCTTCAGCGTTGGTATCATCATCGCGCCACATGTTGAGACTCTTTTTGCAAAATTCACGAGATGTTGCTGCATAAAATTCAAGTGTGGGTCCCAAGCCTGTGCCTTCTTCCCCATTGTATTCGATTTCCAACACCGATTGCGAACTGCCAAAGAGATCCAGGATCTTGATCGCTGACTCGAGCATTTGTGATCGCATGATTCGCACTTTTTGCCGCTCCATACGTCCCAAGACAGGTTGTTGGCTGTGGTGATGATCATCGCGTTGCTGGTTGTTCCGCATTTGCATACTTTGCCATCGTGCAATCAATCGTGAATAACCAAACGACGTACTTTGGATGAAAAGATAGCGTGTTTCAAATGGGAATAGGAAGGGGGCCTTCAACATCAACCAATAGGTCCAACGAGGAAGACATGAGCTGGCCACAATAAGAGGCTCTTCCAATTGTCGATTCATCTTGGCAGCCACCTTACGATTCACAAAGTCTTGCAAGGGAAGGGTGCAATAGGTCAAAGGACGCGCAAGATCCATCAACACGCGAAGCAGTTGAAGAGCACGGGTACAAACGGATTCATCTGTCAACACGGAAGGACGCTCACAACCCTCTTTTGTTCGTGATGTTGTTGTGGATGCTTGTTGCTCTTTTTCCTCATCATCCTTCGTAACATACACACGTTCAAATGTGACAGGATATGATGTGATCCAAATGTTGCGCATAGAACTGCTGGCTCGTGTGTTGTTGTTGTTGTTGTTGATTTCATATTGATGAACAGCGCCATAGACCGTGGTGTCGTTGCTGATCAGGGTATCGTTAAGGTAAAAGCGAATGGTCCATTTGCCAGGCTTGTTCTCCGTGGATGATGATGATGTCTTTTTGCCTTTGGATGTTTCAGCCTTCTCTTCCTCTGGTTGTTGTTCTTGTTCGATGGCATCCTCCTTTTCATCATCATAAAAGATTAGCTAAAAGAAAACAACAATGACTACTCAAATGACCCTTACCTCGTGATGATTTTCCTCCTCCTCCTCTTCATCCATATTATCCACATCAATCTCTTCGATTTCAGAGTTCTCCTCATCATCATCATCTTCCAAATCTTCATCTTCTTCCAAACCACCTCGTCGTCGTCGTCGTCGTCTTGATGAAGCATCAGCAGCAGCAGAAGAAGAAGACATGCTGCCAATGCGTGCCAATAAATACTCTTCCAGCACCTTGAATGTTGCCACAGCATGCGTAGACACCATCAATTGCTGATATTCAACGGGGATATCGGATCCTCTTCCGGACAGACGCAAACGTAACTGCTTGGCAAGCATGCTTGTAGGATTACGGAAATTGTCACCAAGGGAGGAAGATTCCAAAGGTGTCACCACTTCAAAGGGTTCAGAACGGCTAAGCACCTCTTGAAGACGCATCACCAAGACACGCACAGGATAAATCTCGTCTGCTTCCATTGTCGCCTCACGTTTCAAAAACATATCAATAAATGTCTGGCGTCGTGTATCAAGCTGAGCATGGAACGAAGCATCCTTGTCATCCGTGAGATAGGCAAGCAATGTTTCCATAAGCCCTGAATTCATCAATTCAAAGCTGCTGATGCCCATCTTGAAACCTTGCAAATAGCCCATCAACTTTTCCAATGTGTGACGCGCCTCTGGATCAGTGGATGTTCCTTTGAGGGATTGCGCACAATCCTTGATCTCTTGTAGCGTGCTCGATGATTTGGATACACCTTCTTGATCTTGTGCTTGATATTCACTTAGGATGTTTTGTGCCAAGCGAATAATATAACGTCGGGTAGATCCACGACCAATGCCCTTCTCAGATTCAGGGGTAGGCACTTGAGGAGCACCAAAACGACTGCGCAAAAGTGCATGCAAACCACTACGATCAAATAGTCGACGCCTAGGTGGGGTGGATTCGGTTTGGCTGCTGCTTTTATCATCCTCTTGTTGTTGTGGTTGTCGTCGTCGTGATGAGCTCTTACGTTTCTTGTCAGAAGATGGCACCGCTTGATTCTTGTCGGCTTGGGATGAAGATGTGGATGCCTTAATGTTGTTGTTATCATCCTCATCGTCATTATTATCCTCTTCTTCTTCCTCTTCCTCTTCTTCTTCTTCTTCACTGCTTTCTTGTTCGTCAACGGCTGCTTGTGCTTCACGAATGGATTCTTGCATACTGCGTAGGACATCCAATGCTGAGGCAGGCTCATCCGAATCTTTGGAGGGTTCTGAACTATCGCCTTCACCTTGCTTGTTCTTGTTGTCGGCATTCTCTTCTGCTTGTGATTCATCTTGCATGGGTGCATTGGCAAGCATCTCCACTTCATGCAATACACCTTCACGTTCAAAGAGGAATCGATACACCTCCGGGAGTTTTTTCAAAAGCAATTCGACTTGGAACAATGCATCAATGACAAGGGAAGAATGTTCTTGTTGTGCTAGGATACCAGCAAGGAAACTTGATAATGGGAGATCTTTGAGGATTTGTTGCAAAGTATCCGCATTGGAAAAGTGAATGAGCTTGACAAGGTTGTGGGTGACAAGCTGTCGCGTGCGCAAAGTAACCGTTGACATGTACACTTCCAGTAATACAGGGATACACAATTGATCAAGGCGTTTGACAACATCCGCATTCTTTTCCAACAATTCCACACGAGGATCCACTTGCTTGTTGTTGTTTCCTTTGTCCTTTGTGGTAGTGGTGGTGCTGCTCGTTTCCTCTGTGCCTTCACCTCGAGAGGATGTTTCCTTGAATCGTCTTGAGCTAAACATGCCATCTACATCCATTTATATGTATCAGTACAACCTTCTCCTCTTATTGATAGCTTCATGACATTATTTACCTTTTGGAAGTGATGGAAGTACATCGACAAAGATTCTCAAGATAGAATGCACTGAATCACGCCATTTGCTGTCCAAGGACACATCCGTTGGGACCGTATCTTCGGGGGCCTTGGCAGCACCCACCAAGACACGATACAAGGTGTCCACAATCTTGAGCTCGATGAGATCATAGCCAAGTTTAGGAGATCCACGTGAAATGACACGAAAGATGCGCAAAAGATCGGTGAATGTTGAGGGTCGTACTACGTTGGTGTTGCCAGGGACTGGGATCAAGGTGGTCATCTTTTCCAAAAGCTCCTTGGTGATCGCTTTTTCCAATAATTCACTGTTGTTGCGATACGTCTCAGCAAACTTGACCCAGCATAAGCATGTCAATTCGATCACTGTGCGATCCGGATAAGAGATGGTATTGAGGAGGGTAGGAACGACTTCCATGACTTGAGGAAATGAGTCTGCATCGACGCCACGCATACAATTGGCAGCTGTGCGTAATGCTGTGCGTTGAGAATGGATGCTGAAAAAGTCAAAGTACATCAATGCTGCGCTTAAACCGCCCTCGTGTACTACGGCCCTTGGCAAGTGTTGTGCAACCTTTTCCAATGCCTATAAACACACATGATTAGCCCTCCTTGTTTTCCTTTAAAGTATCTTCTCTCCAACGAACGTACACATAGAGCCTGTTCGGCCAAATCAATGTATTCAATAGACTTGAGTTTCTGGCATAAGACACCGACGGCACCATGATACACGACGCTTGTCACAGCGGTAGGCATTGCATCCAGCAAGTTGGAGATACATCGACAAGCCAATAATGCGATTTCGGGGTTGCCACCACCTATGCCTTCACTCATAGCCAATGCCATCATCATGTCATCATCCATATCACCACCACCACCAAGACCACCACCTAGTAGATCGGTGGGACCTTTCATGATGCGTACAAGTTCCTTGACGAAGCTGTCACTGGCAAAATAACCGGCAAGATTCTCCTCACTGCTCACAGATAAGATTTCTGCAAGCTCTTGTAATGCCACCAGTTGCATAGTGGGTTCGTCGTTTTTGAGACTGGCAAGGATCGAACGAAGCCGACTGCTCATATCGGACATCATGCCACCAAAGGAACTTGATAATTGTAAACCAAAGCTGCGTCGAATGCGTTCCAATTCGTCAGTGTCATCGTCGTCTTCATCGTCGTCGTCTTCCTCGTCTTCCTCCTCATCGTCCAAATCTTCATGCATGGCTTGAGCATCGTCGTGTCGTGGATGGTCATCTTGATAGCTGTCTCCATGTTCATATTCATCCTCATCGTCAAAAGTATGCTCCCTGTCGTCTTCCATATCGTCGTCGTCAAAGTATTGGAAATAGGAAACAGGAGTGGTGGTCGTATCCAAGTCAGACTCAGGCTCATGTGATTCCAATTCTTCCGGATCGGCTTGCTTCTTAGCCCTGCGCCTGGTGGTGGTTGACGTGGATTTACTAAGCAAAGGAAAAATACCAATGAGTGATGCTATTCTATAATACAATGACAATAATAATAAATGGATCACTTACCTATGCTCTTGATCAGGTGCTTTGCCTTTACCCTTTCGTTTTGATGATGCCTCACTACTTTTGGCAGCTTGTCGAGTGGATGGTCCTCTGCTATTCGCTCGTTGTCGGGTTGTCGTCGCCGTCGTCGTAGTAGTAGTAGAGCGCTTTAATTCTTCTGCATGATCATTTTCCATTTTGCTGTTGTTGCTGTTGTTGTTGTTGCGACGTGTACGAGTAGAAGGGGCGCGTTGGCGTTTTCTAGGAGTGCTGCTGGATTCTGTTGTCGTTTGTTTTCTCTTTTGCGAACGTTTCTTACTGGTATGTGGATATAAATGGTAACCATCAAAACAAGTATCAGTATATATGTGATGGGGCACATACACATGCACACACTCTCTCTCCTTCTCTATCTCGTTGTTGTTGTTGTTTGTTACCTTCCAATGGTAGAGGATGCTGCTGCGGCGGCGGCGTTGTTGCTATTCGACGGTTGCTGTTGCGATGTGGATGATTCAGCAAATGTATCAGCCGTATTCGATGATTTCTTTGTAGTGCTGGTAGCGGTTGTGGGTTTCCTTTTAGTTCTTAGACTATAGCGCTGATGAGTAATAGAAGACTTGCTGTCACTGGCTGATTGGGGTTGTTGTTGCTGCGATCGGCTGGCACGTTGTGAGGAAGAAGAAGAAGAGGAAGAATGCGAACCAAGATGTCGTCGACCGTTGCTTTCTGATCGTTTCAGCTTCTTGGTCGGATGTTCCATATAAACTGATGAACAAGAGGCGAGAGACTGTTATGTGGACGTTTTGCTCAAAGTCCAGCTTTTTCTCCTTTCGTCGAAGCGGGAAAGAAAGATGAAACCCGATCCTTTACAAAAACTCCACACTCTATCACACTTTTTTAAGACAGCTCTAATGCGAGTAACACTTGTGGTGCATTCTTGCATATCCTCTGTAATGCATGTACTATCCATCACTCACGCTCACTCATGTTGATTGTTGTCAATTGATACCTTGAAAATGTTCCATCATGGATATCGAAGGATGATGTAATCCATCCTCGTTCTTTCAAAGCACACACAACCCCCATTCATGTGTAACCATTAATGCTGTTGTTGACTTTAATGCAGGGCACAGACACACTTAGATAGATACCCAACCCCATGTTTGAGAATCAAATTTTCTTTAATATTGCTACGGAGGGGATGATGGAAAGATATGGTAGTCGTGGGAATGATTATAAATGAATTGAAACGAGCTAGCTCTTCTAAGCAGTCTCTTCTTCTTGGTTACGCTTCTTGAGAACCAAAGGCTCACCAGTGATACGCTTCCACAAATCATGGACATCGTCGCATACAGTCTCAAAGTGAGAAGTAGCATCATATGACTTTGAAATAAATACTTGATCCTTGGTACCATCCTCCAAAGGTTCTTCCAATGGGCTCACAGATACAAACCTACACACAAATAAGTAAATCCTATTTCCAATCAACCTTGTCCATCCACTCTTACTTGTCATGAATGGGACCCAAAAGCTTCAAGCCGGCTTCGATTTCTTGTTCAGGGTTGTCAGTTTCAACAATGGTGGAGACAATGGCCAAGTAAAAGTCCTTGGGGCACACCATGTGGGCATTGCTGACACAGGCAACATAGACATCGTGCTTACGACCCACTTGGTTTTGAGGAATCACGATTTGCACCGAATCAATATCACCGGTGTTGGGAATAGGATGGGTCAAGAAGCAAATGGCACGAACCACAGAGCCAATCTTGCGAACCTTGCCAGGAGCATAAGATGGATCACAAATCACCTTTTTCGCCTTGACAACATCATCACCTGCCTTGACACCAGAGACCTGACCATTCTCATCATAGACGAGTTCACTCACAGCCTTATCAAGCATGTAGGTACCGCCATAGACAGCGCTAAGTCTATATGGATTTGTGTGTATGTGAGTCATCATGTATGGCGGGGGTGGAATTGTTATTGCATAAACCTTACCTTGCAAAGGCTTGAGGAAGATCACCCAAACCATAAAGAGGATAAATATAAGGAGACTTGCCATAACGAAGGACGGAGGCAGCATACAATCGGATCTTTTCAACGGTATCACGAGCGGGTTGTTGAAGATAGTTATCATCAAGATGAAGAGCCATAGCGTGACCTATCATCCATGCTCTATTGATTAGTATACATGAAATCATGCAAAAGAGTAAAACGTCACTTACCAATGAAATCTTGAGTACCCGAATCCAAACCAAACTTCTTATACACGGTAGTCATGGTATCGGTACCAATGTTCAAGCCATTGTGAGTGGCAGGGTTGTTATCATCCCAAGCTTGGACCCATTCAAGGAACTTTTTCATGCGACGCTTTTCAAAGATACCCATCAAAGGAGAAGAAAGAGCCTCCATCTCATTGGAAGGGACCTTGGCAATCTTGCCGCCACGATACACATAGGAGCCAGAGATTTGCTTGAATTCAAGGTAACGGGTAACATCCGTATGGGTCAAGAAGCGTACAATCTCGCCGTTAGCCATCATGAACTTTGGGATAAGATCAATGTTCCAGTCGCGGTCGCGGCCAAGGTTCTCGGGTACAGGCTGACCAGGTCGAATCTTGTTGTAAAGCTAATGAACCCAATGTCAATATGGCCCATCACCCCCCAGATGATACGCCATGGCCTACCTGAGTCAAGTTGAGCGATGCAGATTCACCACCATAGTAGTCGTTGCGGTCCATGTGGAGCACCTTTTTACCATCAACCGAGAGCAAGCCCGAAAGGATGCACTCTGTCAAACCAGTGCCAAGAACGATAACGTCGTATTCTTCATCCTATTTTCACCACCTTGTGTTAGATAACAAGACACTTGGGATGGTGAAGGCATGATGAGAACTTACCATGATGTGTGTTGCAGTAGAACAAGTTAAAAGGGAGAGTCGATTGGGACGCGTGCATCCTTTTCAGCCAACCAACCAGGAGTCGCCGATCCAATATCCCTGACGACGATTATTATCACTACTACTACTACTACTACTATTGTTGCTCCCTTTCTTTGTCTCTTACATCTTGACAACAAATAAATGGTTGCTGTTAATGTGAAGCTCTTTCTCAAGTAACCACACATACCATCTTGCATTTTTACATCGTATTGAATAAGGAAGCTTCTACTATCCTTGGTGCGTGGCGGGTTTTAACATCTGCACCCACCCACTCCTCCCTCACACTAAAATTATGCAGGCAACGACTATTAAGGCAAGTAGATCAGTTTCTTCTTGCTTCCTTTAGTGTCCAAACCCAAGGGTGAAGAATACATCTATGCTGTATACACAACTTCTTTCAACCACTATGAATCCTATCATCCTCTTTTTAATCGCGTGATATAGATCGAAACATCCCGCCATTGGGAAGGACGCTTTATTATGCAATCAGTTACAGCCTATGGCTTTGAAAGAACAAACGACTACGTATTTAAAGAATGGTTTCAATAGCATCGATTCCAGTGATATAATTTGCTCCGCGAAGGTGGTGGGAAAACACATTTTGACATCTTCTTGTTACGGCCCAACCCAGCAGCTCGAAACACAAACGTTACAACTTTTACACACACACACACGCACGCACTTTTTCCAGTGTCAATGCATACAGCATCTCGAGAATCCTGACGCAATGAGGGATTCACTGTGGATACTAATAGTCGGCATATTGGTGTTTGTACTTGTACTGGTGCTGCTTTTATGTTTCACCAAGGGAAGCGGCGATACTCTCTTTCTCACTGGGCCTGACGATCCTGAAACGGCATGTGCATTCAGAGAAACACCGGCATTGTTGGCTACTCTTTCTGAAGATGCGAGGATTAGTTATGAACAAGCCAAAGGTAAAGTGGTGGTTGTCTTTTTAGAGAAAACGTTTCCATGGACACGTGTTCACGTCATGGTGATAGTCTTTCAACAACGATATCCACCCAACAGCATACCAACCGATATCACACTCTCACAACTGGTATCCATTCAAGAAAAAGGCGTATCAGCATTCGAGTTTGAGTTGAATATGGAATCAAATGGATTCGTATCAGCACGTACAGAACTTCAGTTTCTAAGTGGTGAATCATGCTTTCAAACCAACCTTCCTCTTCCAAGAAATCAAGATGTTTATTATTGGGAAGTACGTATAATAAGGATCGAGTGTAGAAGGGTGATGATGATGACGGATGTTAACTTTTGGCATGATAGGCAAAGTTATTTGAAAAACCAGCAACAACCACGGTGGCTATTGGCGTTGCTACAAAGCCATACCCTCATTTCAGGCTGCCAGGTAGGTGGGATGATTCTTATAGAGATCAAGATTTCTCACACGCCACTTCTTAGGATGGAATCAGCATTCGATTGCCTATTTCAGCAACACCGGATGCAAGTATTTCAGTAATCCATTTCATGATAAGCCCTATGGACCACCCTTACAACAAGGAGATGTGCTAGGAGTCGGCTATCGTCATCGTTCAGGCACTATCTTTTTCACTCGCAATGGTCGACGCTTGGATGATGCTTGTATGGGGTTGAGGTGGAACCTATTTCCAACCATTGGTGCCAATGGTCCATGTCAGATCCATGTCAATTTTGGGCAATTAGGTAAAATATACATTTACACGGGGGGATACGATGATGCTGTTCTTTTCCTTCTCACGTGGCTCTCTTTTGTAATACAGGGTTTGTTTTTGTTGAGGCGAATATCAAGAAATGGGGATTAGCGCCTGTGCATGGTACCCTTGCTCCTCCCCCAGCTTATGGGCTGGAAGCGGATTCATTATTACTTGAACGTGGTGACGATAGTAGCAGGACCACCACAACAATGACCAACAACAACAACAACAACAACAATGAGCGACAACCTCTCTTAATGCCGCCGCCGCAGCAGCAATTGTATCCTCCGCCCCCAGCATACAACACGTTTTCCTGAACCCCGATATTTCACACGCACAGACACACAGCAGTGCTGCTGCATTGGTAACAGCGTGGGATGGATTGATTGCATACGATAAAGCGTGTGTGTTATATTTCATTCAACATGTAAAACTGGCACTATTAGCTTCAATACATCTGTACTACATATAATGATACAATTTGCAAATGGGGGGAAACGGGAATTAAGGATGGTCTTACGATTCTTCTCATTCGAGTGGCACAACTTTACCACCGATGGAGAGTTGCTTGTGGGGTTCTGGGATGTTTTGCTGCTTACGGAACTTTAGCTTTTCTTTCATCTCGGTAGCAAGTTGCTTGGCACGATCCGTTGGCTTCATTTGAGCATGCTCCGATATACGTCTTCCTTCGGTATCAGTACCGATAAAGGCATTAGGATCGGCTGTTGGACGTCTTTGGTTGCTACCATGCTGGTCGATGTCAGCACCTGTTGTGGCACCCATGACCTCCTGGCTCGGCGCCTGGTGATCGTTCTGGGTCGCAGTTTGTAGCACATTTTGTTGTTCCATTGCATGAGACTGCATGATGATGCGTATTTTGCTTTACAAGTAAAAGATGAATACGATTAAAAGTAAAAGAAAAACAACATGGGTTGATGAAAAAAGAGATCAAAGAATACATGTAACGCATACCCATTTTGCAGGGGTTTCCGAATTTAGTAGGGCCGATACATGCACTACGCTGCAACCAAGGGCCCTTTATTGCAAGACGACGATCTGCCAGGACAACATGGAAGGTTTCACAGATGCCTGATTACAACACATGACACTGCACCTCCCAAAATCTTATTAACAAACACACGCACGCACCGATGGGCAATGGTAAATCGCTGCTGCTGTTATTTTTCCACACACACACACACACACATTGATGATGATGATGATGACGATGCAAAAAGTCAATCTGCTTAATGATCTTCAGAATGCATCTTGCATGCAATGTGGGTGAAAGCAGCCTGAAACTTCATTCCTTGCCAGTTTTAGCCTCTTTTATTTCCTATCATCCTTTATCAGCTGCCATCATCACCATCGGGACAATTGGCATCCGCAAAAGTTGCCAAAGCCAACACACACACACACACACACACACACGCTTACTTCCGGGTAACCATGTGCGCCTAAATCATTTTGGGTTCATCAACTTTTTTTTTCTTTGTAACAGCTTTCCTTTTCCTTCCTCTTATTACTTCTATCATCATGGACACAGAACGTGTTTCATTGCCACCCATACAATCCATGCTCGATGGACCGAATATAGCATCCAACAAACCAAAAGGTACATTACATGCATCCTGCTGCTTGTATGAATGAGCCCATGTATTAATACTAATGCCCTTATCAGAAGCCGTTGTTTTCAACACTACCATCAAACAAACATCTCCATCTCCACCGCCATCTCCATTATCGCCTTCTGCTGCTACGACCAACGAGGAGAAGAGTATACCACAACGACGACGGCAGCTGCATCATCAACGTCAATCTTCTTCGCCTGTGTTTTCAGTGGATCGTCCTCCACTGACACACATTACAACTACTACTACTACACATAGCATCACCACACAAGACAACAACAATCATCATCATCATCGTTCAGCACGCCCACCTGCTGCTGTTGCTCGACATCATTATCATCATCATCGACGTGCATACTCTACTGAATCATTCCTCGATAATACTACATCCACCACAACACCCATGTACAACAAGAAACCTGTAACCACGGCAACAGTGATGATGGAGTCCCATGACCCCCAGCAACAGCAAAATCATCGTTATCGATGTCCGATGTGTCCCAAGACCTTTTCACGACCATCATCACTACGAGTACACATTTACTCTCACACGGGTGAGAAACCGCATGCATGTCCTCATCCTGGTTGTGGACGTCGTTTCAGTGTGCAAAGCAACATGCGGCGTCATTTACGAGTCCATTATTGTTCTTCTTTTTCCGATGATCAGCAGCAACAGCAGCACCAGGATCCAGAAGTGGAAAGAGCTTTGCAACCTAAAGGGGGTGCAGCTGTGGACCCCATTCCTTCTCTTATCCCTTCATCCGAGCCATAATATAGCATCTTCCACCATTGTATTTATATACGTATATCTATATCCCCCCTTTTTTGATTGCACTGTTGGCATTTCTCTTCTTCATTCCACCGTTTCAAAAAAAAAGACGCAAACTAAAAAAGGAGATGGTTCCCAAAATCATGCTACTACTAGATCGTCGCTGTCACATGTATCATAAAGCTGCTCTATTATCTTTGTCAGCAACCTACCACCATGTCCAACTAGGATACATGGATCATATCATGAATCAGTATGGGATCGATAACAGGCTTCGAAAGGAAAAAAAGACCCTGATAAAGGCTGAGCTCGGGTATGAATGGCAGTAGCCAAATATACCTATGATGGCTGAGATGTCGATCCACACTAATTCGACGTCATCTCAAATTCAAAAGGCATCATCTTCCCTCTTGATCCATCATGGTAGTCGAAGAACTCCCAAAAGCATACGCTAAATTGAGACCCTAATAAGGTGTCTCGTGTCTATATTGAAACTTCTATTCTTACAATTCAAAGTCTATCAAATGCTTTGTCAAGCTGGTACTTGATCATTGCCATCGATTGGGTATATAGGCTGGTCTCTATAGGATTATTCATGTATCCATGGGCTTCAAAAACGTTGAGTGTCAGCTATTAAAAGAGAGCTCTACTATGCATTTTACTTACTTGCTCCAATGACACGCACACATGCTGTATCCACGCCAGCTTTTGTTAGCTTTCTCGCATACGCTTCAGCTTCATCACGCAACACATCGGCCTCAGCGGTCAATACCAGAGCGGGTGGTAAACCTTTCAAGTCTTCCACGGACGCCAAAATGGGGCTCATATGATTGCTCATCTTGGCCTCTGGTTTGTTATCATTGTATGCGTGTTCCATGATGTACACCTCCTCAATTGACAAATCATAATCACCGCCACCAAATTCCGTAAAGGATGGAAAATCCGTACTACTGCGACCACATGGCGATGTGGATGGGTAAATAAGGATCTGAGATTTGATGTTCTTGATATCAAAATGTTGACGTTCCTTGGCCATCTGGCATACCACAGCGGCTACGTTACCACCAGCACTATCACCACACACAGCTAGCATGGTGGGATCAATGCCAATACCATGGCCATTTTCAAGAGCCCAGCACACGGTCGAGTAGCATTCTTCATGGATCGTGGGGAATTTTACATCCGGGGCCAATGAATGTTCGGGAAAAATAATAGCAACGTTGGCTTTAACGCAAATCTTGACAACTTCTTGTTACTAGGCTGATTCTTATGCAGTGGCATTTAGACTTACATCTCGCACCAACTTGCCATGTGTGTGCTTGGATCCACTCACCCATCCACCACCAAAGCTATTACCGATCACATGATGATCAACAATAAATATGGATGACATAAGCTGATATGATGGTATGCTTGCTTACAAAAAGACAACAGCAGGAAGAAGTTCATTCTCGGTGCCAATGGGTCTCATTAATGTCACTTTGATGTTGGTCTTTTCGCCCATGGTGACTACCATATCTTTTTCAATGACCTCGGGGAGTTGAATGCCATTCAATCGCTTGTTGGCCATGGCACGATATTCGGTGCAATCAGAAGGGTCAAAAGCCGGACCCTTTTTGTTCGCTTCAAAAGCTGCAGCGTAAACAGGATGCACAGGTGTGCGTGATGGCGTCAAAGTAACTGTCATAGCGTCGTGGGAAAAATAAAAGAGTAAAAAAAAGGGGGTAGTGGTTTATCTTGGGCTCTATTTATGCCCATGAGCTTGAGTTAGGTTACACCGACATCCGACGCTGATGATCCCGCTCATAGCAGCAGTCATTATATAACGTAAACATCTCACTCATGCTCTCTCATAAAGTGGCAGCTAACAGCCACTTTTTCCCATTCTCAGCTTTTATCTCCTCTACCACAATGGAGTGATGCCCCTGCTCCCAACATTTATTTCCATGTTTCAATGGCCTTGATTAGAGCAGATTTGACTGAGCTACGCTCAAAGAAAGAGTACATCAATTGATAGGGAATGCATACATGTATAAGTATTGATGTTCCCTTTGTTTGAGCGTAGCTCAGTCAAATCAGCTCCGACCAAGACAATTGAATCGTGGAAATAAATATAGAGCAGGATCATCGTTCCCATGCCATATAATAACCAACAGTGCCGATTGGGAGCAAGTGGCTATTAGCTGCCAATGATGAGCTGTCACTGAATAACTTGTAAAGTATCATCCATTGATCCTTCCAATCATGCAAAATGGATTGTGTTACACAAACACGTCCCTCTTCATCTTTGGCTGTATCAGGGTCTTACTTGGCAATGAACAAAGACCGCCTTTCATACGGCATCACGCTTACAGCATATGTAAAACATAAAGGTGCCTGTATCTCTAAACTTTACAATCAAACGTGGGGTGTTTATGAGAGCAAAATTGCTTGGCTTGGCCAACTGCACCCCCGCTGAGCAACATCGTTCTCATAAAGACCCCACGTTTGATTGTGAAGTTTGGAGATACAGGCACCTTTATGTTTTACTGTACATATGCTGTAAGCGTGATGCTATATGAAAGGCGGTCTTTGTTCATTGTCAAGTAGCTAGACCCTGAGAGAGAGCAAACGATGCAGAGGAGCATCGTATTTGTATCACAACGCGAGAGAGAGAGCCAATTCTATTGGCGGAGACATGCATAATGGATCCCTTCCCCTGTCTGTCTATAGCGAGGTCCCCCTACCCTATTATAGCCTGCATAGAGCATGACCCATACTTATACAAGGCCGCATAGCATAGCGTTAGCTGAACGCTGTTAAAGGTAAGCATGGTATGTTCATGCACTCGTGTCACATTGTATCACACCCACTCTTTCTGTTTTGAACGTAATCGATTAAGACAAAAGCATAATGTAAATGATTCAACCCCACTTTCCGAACTTCTTATTTCTACTTCCCCTTTCGATCCAGAAGCCAACCAAGCGATCCACATCTTGCACATGTGAGTCTATAGCATGATGCCCTTCTAAGTATTATCTTAAAACCGATGTTCATTCAATGAAAAAGTCGGAGAATAGCGAATGGAAGTGTGGATGTTTAATATTATAAAGGTACTGGATTACAACTTGAATAAGATATAGGTGAATCACATAGAGTCAACAGGGTACTTGTGTCATGCTATTCTTGGTTACTGCCGCCATAAACATCCCTCATCCACGATTGCAAAATAGCTGCTGCATGCATCGACACGAGTATTCCAAATAGTCCATGGCTATAAAATACACTTCGTCAATGGCCATTCCACCAATCCATCATCATCCTCAGCTGTATCCACACCCATGATCCTTCCTTCCTGATAATGATACCAAGTAACCAAAGCAGCGTCCAAGGTTTCTCATCACTGCACTTGATTGCATCCATCCATCATAGCCATTGCAGATCCAATATTGCTGCTGATCCCTTCCCATCCTTCTGTTGATCCATCTCTTTCATGGTCATTTTCATTGCAGCTCAACCAGACGAACATTGCTTGTATTGCGGTGTACTTGATATTGATATGGAATCATCCATTGGTATGCGTATGTATCAAAGCAAGGTACTACACGTAAATAAAGCTGCTTCCATACAATGGCTATCTGCTGTTCACGTAAAGAAGGCTGTAAGGCAAGTTGCTGCAAGTAAAGAAGACCGTTTGGGACAATGAAGGCTTTCTAACGGTAACTGCTGCAATGAATGCTGTTACGTTTGATCGTGGCAGGGAAGCGCACAAGAACGTGTGTTGTGTCAAAAGACTCGTGTGTTGTAGAAGAGTGACAAGAAGGCTGTGTATACGCCATGCACTTGCCATTCAGTCAAAGACAATCGGATCAAGGCAATTGTAGGGTTGACATGGTGGAATGAAGCAGGACAATCGTTCGCAGGCAGTAGTTGTATACTCGAATGGGTCAACAGTTGGGAATGAAAGGAAGAGACAAGAAGTTGGTGAGTGGAAGAAGTGGAAATTAAATAGGCGGACACCTCTTGTTTGAATGCATGAACACTGTACATCAAACCTTGATTATGAGATTACCCCTCTCGAACCTCAAACTTTCACACAATGTGCTATTGGTCATCCTGATCAAATTTGTCTGTATAAAAGTATACTTCATCATGAAATCTTAAAGGGGGAGCGTCCTAGTTCACATGCGGTGGATCAAGCAGCAGTCGCAGGGTCGAAGATACAAAGATTTTCCGGTTGGTAGCCTTGAACCTTATCCCCCCCGCCTTCGGCAAAGCCGCGTCTTGTATACCTTTTCCCACCATCATGTCAAGTTATCTATATGCAACGATCTTTTGTGGCATGTCTGTATGTATACAAAGCAAACGTTTCACTATCCGTTTCTTCCATTATCTTTCACAAACAAGCATCCCTACTAGGTATTGTCGTGGCACAAACACTCTTGCAAGAAGGTGCTGATGGAGCAGGCTTTGTTTTGCATTTTTGTTCTTTATGCACCACCACATTCCCACACATGATGCCTTTACAAATGCATATCAAACATGCCATTGAGGTTATAAAGACTACTAGACAATGACTATCTCAAGGAATAACATCATTGTTGTAAACCTTAATGATCGGCAAAAGCTTTTTAGCACGATCCTTATCGTGATACATGGCTGAAGGGTCTGTTTGCTCCCCGCTCTTGAGTAGGTGCGACGAATAGCATAATGCTTGCGGAACCATTTGCATACCTGCTAATGTTTATGACTTGGATTGGGAAAGGTGATACTATTACACAATATCAATAGGAGATTTGATAGTGCACCAATGCTGGTGGTTTCCGAATGCCCGCAAGCTTATTATGCGGTATCCACAAGAGGCGCAGCATCAGCAGCTATCATTGCACTATCATATCTCACCCACCTCCTCTCCTTATAAAAGACGCAACACTGGCTTGGCATTCATCATCAACATTGCTTTATTTCCCATCATGACTCGTGCTATTCCCATTCACCCTGCTTACGTTGACTCTGTCAAAGCCCGTGATGCCGCCCCATTGCTTCATCAAATCGAGGACTTTGAAGCATTTAACAAGGTTGTGGACGCACACTGTGCTACTTTTAAGGTGCCTGAAGTGATTGAAGAAGATCGTAAAGTGGAATTCAACGGCAAGACTCTCGATTTGACATTGCTACGTCCATTGGGCACCGAGAAGGAGGTGCTTCCTGTTATCATCTTTTAGTAAGTGTTTGTCAAATTACCCTTATTGTCATCCTTTTTATCTAACCAGGATGCATGAATTATGCAAGCCATGGGGGCGCGTGGGTAATGGGTTCCAAGTATACAACTGGCAAAATTATTCGCGACGTAAGTGTTCTTTTCGTACCATACACCACGTGCATTGCCTAACTATTTATAAACATAGTTGTGCATCAAGAACCATGCAGCTATTGTATTCCCCAATTATGCACTTGCTCCCAAGGTCAAATTCCCTGGCATTCACGAGGAATGCTATTCGGCATTGGAGTGGGTCCTTGCTCACGGTAAAGATAGCCTGCTTGACACATCCAAGATCGCAACCTGCGGAGATAGCGCTGGTGGCAATTTGGCAATCGCAATCCCTCTCATGGCTAAACAACGTGGACTCCCTAAGGATACGATCAAGGCCCAAATCCCATTGTACCCAGTCACCACCGATACTCGTGAACATTCTCCATCGTATCAAGAATTAAGCAATGGCCAATACATCCTCACTCATGACGAGATACGATTCGCTTCAAAGGTTTATCATTATGATGATGGCTCTAATGGTGGTGACGAAAAATGGATCTACCCTCTACGAGCCTCTGTTGATGACTTGCGTGATCTTCCACCAGCATTAGTGATCACAGCTGAAGCTGATGTCTTGTGTGATGAAGGTGAAGAGTATGCACGCAAATTGGTAGAGGCCGATGTTAAAACAGCTGCAGTGCGCATGATTGGTGCCGGTAAGTTTAAATAGGATGATGATGGCACACGCTCTACTCACTTGCATTGCAATCCAACCAGTACATGGATACATAACCCTCTCTCAAGTGGACACTCCAGTGTATCTCCAAACCTTGGCAATGATCAAGTATCACCTCGATGAAGCGTTTGGTAAATTGTAAATACACCTATCATTCGATCAAGTTGGCCTTCAAAGCCGCAGACACCTTCGTTATCATTTCCCATCATCATCGTATATAGCTGACTTTAATACATTGCTACTTGGTTTGGCCACTACCTAAAAAAAGCTGAGACGTACTTTGACTAAGATTCGAGGTGATGCATGCATAACCTAAAGCATACGCCTCGATTAAAAGCTGTTGTTGTTGTTAATCGATCTGCCCCAAATACTCATTAGCTAGGATGGCCCGATATCACTGCCCGACTTTCAAATTGCTTATAAGGCTTTGTGGCATTCAAATACCTTTTAGGTGTATCTTTATTAGACATCACAATAATGCTGGTGACAATTATCGCTTCATCACGTGCATAGGTCAAGTTGGGATAAATGGCCTCCATTTTTAAGTGTTACCAGTGAACCACCCCTTCTTTTTTGTTGTAGCGATTGTACACCACGACAGCAAAGCTTTACTTCTATTCCTTGCCATTTGCAGTCAGCATCCGTCTCTTGGTCATATGCCATCACTACAAGCAACTACATCCTGGTTCATCGTTGCTTTGTTCTTGTTTCAACCTCTGCTCCAACACAGCCCGTTTCAACCCGTACGTTTGACCATGACCCAGCCCCATTCAAGAAAACAATCTTCAGCAATGGTCCTCGTCGTCTCAGCTTGCTAGAGTTCTTGGTGTTGATCTTGGTCATATTGACAAGCTCCAGGTACTAACAAGGCCATAGCATGCCCTCATACTAGCAACAAACCAAGAGTTCTTACAAACTTGCTTAGATACTCCTTGGCATGGTGACAGGCGATGGTTAGTGGGATGTCGCAAGGAAAAAGTGTTGGCAGGATCCATGCAATGGTCATCCAAAACTTCTTCTATCTTCAACAGGTACCTCTTCAAGCACAAACAGCCATGTCGCACTTGATTCAATGTGGGTATTCCAGCAGCCAGATGGATTACAAGCCCCTCCATCAGTCTATTGGTATGAATCCAATCTCAACTGCCTTGCGCTATATCTTGTCGTGATGTTGTTTGATGGTGCAAGGAACGCTATTTATGGGGTATCCGGATGGATTGCGACAATCAGGTAGGTTTGGAAGATGGCCCTTTCGTGTATGCTCGTTCAAGGAGGATTGGCTATGGTATGCAACCGAGTAATGTGGATGAAGGCAAGATGGATATGGTATGGTAATTATTGGAATACGTGTAGGTATTGTGCATTGTAGATGTAGTCGTATTGTCTATGAATTAAATTGGTCGATATAAAGCTGTAAAGAAGATATCTGGATTAATAATTATTGGTTTGTGGCGCACATGGAGTATTCTTCACAACCTTTGGTATGACACCTATTGCATCGAGCCATAACTAAAAGGTCTCCTTCGCCGACACGTATCTTTTTTTGTACTGACAACAGTCATACGAGCGCAACCTCTCATGACCGAGGAGTACACCTGCGCTGCTGAGGCGATGAGGGCACATGACCTGAAAAAATTATCGGATTCCTTCTACAAAGGAAACCCTTGCTTTCGCAAGTATCAAGATGAAACCATTATCTTTATCAAGACCGCTACGTTCAAGAACACTGAGCTGCAAGATACCTTGAAGACACCAACAAAGAAAAAAAAATCAATTGAATCCAATCATTGTTTGAATAAGCATCAGTGATGGTGTCATCCTCATAGCAATTACGATCCTTCATTATGATTATCCTCGTCTCATTGTATACCAAACATCCCATTGTATACCAAACGTCTCATTGTATACCAAACACCCCATTGTACAGCAAAATAAATGACAACAAGAGCAAATGGCTCGATGTTACTACTCGACCTTCAAATTGCTTGAAAGACTTTGGGGCATTCAAAGAGGTGCATCTTTATTAGACATCACTATAAGATTGATGGCTACAAAGGATCATACGCAAGCTCATGCTATCATTGATTCGCTTGGCTTGGATGCTTAGGATCTACCGAATGCCTCGTCAAGCTGGCACTTGATCACGGCAAGAGTATGGGTATACTGAGGCACATCGATAGGGCTAGGAACAGTGATATAGCCGTGAACTTTTATACAAAAGGTGTGTGTGAGATGATAGCAACCATTTTAAATGCAAAGACTTACTTGCGCCAATCATGCGTACGGCAGCCGTTTTGACACCAGCTTCAGTCAACTTGCGTGCATAGTCCTCGCCTTCATCACGTAAAACATCTGCCTCGGCTGTCAAAACAAGTGCTGGAGGCAATCCACTTAATTCTTCGATGGATGCCAACAAGGGACATGACCACTTTTTATCGCCACCCGTTGCACCATCATAATAGGCATCACCAAAGAATTTCATGTCCTCACGAGTAAGCGTGTACTCGCCGTTGCCAAATGCTTGATACGAGTGGTAATGATCACGCACGTCAGCGGTTGCTGGGTAAATGGCGATTTGAGTCTTGATGACATTATCAGGCAAACCTCGTTGTTTTGCCATTAATGCAACTGCCACCGTCAAATTGCCACCAGCACTATCACCACACAAGGCCAGCTTGGTAGTATCCACATGAATGTCTTTGCCATTCGCAAGGACCCATTGCAATGTGGCATAGGCTTCCTCATGGATCACGGGAAACTTGACTTCAGGTGCCAACGAGTAATCAAGGAAAACAACGGCAACATGGTTTTTGATGCAAATCTGAAATAAGGTGGTAGCACACGATGTCGGTGGATGTTACACAAGACCCCATTCGTAAATGAATGCTTACATCTCGGATAATCTTGGCATGAGTAGACTTGGAACCCATTACAAAGCCGCCTCCATGACTTTTGCATAAGAGTTGGTTAATCATCGATCCCATACAATGATGGTTGAGAGCATGTTTGTGATACTCACTAAAAGATAACAACTGGGAGGATCTCATTTTCGGTACCAAGGGGGCGAAGCAAAGTCAAATTCAATGCTCTGCCCTCGAATTCCACTGTCTTATCTTGCTCAATGACTTGGGGAAGCTTCAAACCAGCTGATCGTTGGTTGGATACTTCACGAATCTTCTCGATAGGTATTTGACTAAGGGGAGGAAGAGCCTTGCGAGCTTCAATGGAAGCAGCGTATACAGGATGAATAGGAGTGTGGAATGTCATATCGTTAAATGATGTAAGTAGAAAAGAAACAGGAACACATTTAAAGTCTCGGCGGTGGGGTTCTATCCTGAAATAGTCAGGCCCGACCGCTCTCCCACAATATGAATGGCCGAGTATTTCGCTTCGTAATCAGTAATAGCATTCCTTCCCCAACCCACAATACGTGCATCGTTCACTATACATCAACTTTATTCACTCCCTAATCACGTCCAAATGCCTCATTCAGCTGAAAGGTAATCATTGCTAGAGTTTGCAAGTAGGGTGCTGTTTCGGTTGGATGCTGCATATATCCATGTGCTGTAATAAGAAAGCATGAGTGATATGGTTTCCATGGCAAATGGGATGATGATGACTTACTTGTACCATTGACCCTTATGGATGTAGTAGCAACACCTGCTTCCAATAGCTTGCGTGCATAGGCTTCACCTTCATCACGCAATGTATCGGCTTCACAAACAATCATCAGGCAAGGTGGAACTCCGCATAATTCTTCATGGCTGGCAACCAATGGAAATCGATACTTGTTGTCATTCACAGCAGACGGGTTTTGGATTCCAGAATACAAATCGTTGCAACGCTTCGTGTCGTAAAAGTTGAGGGCATATTCACCACGTGCACCAAAAAGACGATATGATTCAAACGATGACTCAATGGGTGGTGCTACGGATGGGTAAAGGAGGATTTGGGTTTTTATGGTGTCTGCAGGTACTTCAAGCCGATCTTTGGTAATGAGTGATACGGCAGCTGAAAGATTGCCGCCTGCACTATCGCCACCAATAGCCAACTTGCTGGGATCCACATTTAGTTCATCCGTTCCATGTTCCACCACCCAACGGACTACTGCATAGCATTCTTCTGCAGCAGTGGGAAAAATGGCTTCGGGTGCCATTGCATAATCAGGGAATACAATGGCAACACGGGCCTTGTTCGCGATCTAACCATCCCATGTACACGTGAATACTTGGTATTGGATACATGTACTATATAAAAATGTACTCACATCACGAATGAGCTTGCCATGGCTAACCTTATTGCCAAACACCCAACCGCCTCCATGCCTTTTAACATTTACATTCATCATCGTGTTAAAAAAAGAGCTTGTTTTCAATCAATGACAACTTACAAATAGACAAGAACAGGAAGCCTTTCGTTCTCTGTACCGATAGGGCGTACCAAGGTTACTTCCATTTTTCTACCAGCGATTTCAAGCACGCGATCTTCCGCTAATGCATCCGGCCAAGAGTCGGTGGGAAGTATGTTGTTGTTTCTATCACGAAAGGCTTGTATATTTAAAAGGTCATTGTCGGTAGGCGATATGTCGAAAGCACCACACATGGGTTCGTATGCTGGATGGAGCGTGACCTGACGCGGCATGCTGATGTTTTGATGTGAGAGTAAAAGGAGACACGAAATGCATTATCCACCACCAACAAGGTGCTCAATTTATGTTTGCATCATCATGTTGTGCTAGTGTCAACCAAACAAATGCGCGCTCACATGGGAATTTAGTTACATAAACAAGTCCTGATTTCGTAAGCTTTTGCATTACGGTTACACTTGTGCACTTTTTGGACTCCCACCTTGCTTTAAGAAGCATGAGAAGGGTAGTAGTAGAGTGGGTCTTTGGTATTCCAAAGTTCAAGATCCATGCAACTTTGATGGTGAGCTAGCAAATCAAATACGTTGTTTATCATGGCTGCTTCCCAACTCAATCAACATCCTATGACATGCGTAGTACCAAGCACTGCTAGTAATCTCCATGGCAACGGGATATGGTAACAACGTGCATCCCACAAGCGATTCTCAATCTTACCATTTTCCCGCTTACACAATACCATGACATGAACGTAATAGTAGTAGTAGTTTATTGGGTGGTAGAGAGAGCTGATTGGATATCACTAGTTGAAAGGTTTGCATGGTTGATTGCTTCCGTGTATACATCTTGCCATACACGATATTGTGCTGAGTACCGCTTGTCATCTTCATAATCATCCCATGGCTTATTGGATAAGATGTAGTGGATGTTTTTGACCTCTTGAAATTTCCACATGGTAGGATGGGCTACGGCCAAGGTCTTTAGCGCGTTATAAATGTAAGGGAGATGAATCCACCTATGCTCGAATATCTCGTTGAGAAAGTCTTGATCAGGAAATCGGTAGCTTGTCAAATCGGGGATGCGATAGAGATGTGAAATGATTTCTTGAAACTTTGACCTTGATGGTTTAAAGACAATTAGGCCACTATTAAAGTAATCAACACTCTTGCTGGTGGCATTGTTTGTATAGGCGCAATTGGCAGGGATCCTTGAAGTACAATTGAGCTTACATAGGACCAATCATCATCGCGCGGCATAAATTACATACCAGTCAGCAGGATACGTCTTTATCTTTTGTGGATTGCAAGTGCAGGCATGGCTTGCTGCAATATGATGTTCATCCGGTAACGCAATATCCATCATGAGCTCATCCATATTTTGTAATGGTAACATGTCCGCATCCAACAGCACTACACGTTCGTATTCTTCCAAATTCCATACGGCCAGCTTGGTCCACGTCTCCACAAATCGCTCAAAGACGTACCGAGTTTTACCCGGTGGGTGAATAGGATTGATAGGTTGGACACGACACCCGGCATCCTTTAGTAGTTGAACGGCTCGTTTTGTCACTGCCGATGTGTATAATACCACCAATGGATATAGGCTTTGAGTCATCCTCAACGCCTGTGCGAGGGCAATGGCGCCTTTTATATAGTTGTTGGTGCTTGTTAACACGACCACCCAAGCTGCTTTGGGAACTGTTTTGGAAACCATGGCTGTTTCTCGAATGTTGTATAGAAGAAAAGAAGGGAGAGAGAATAAAGCTGAAACAACAAAAGAGCTCTCAATGGTTAATAATGTGGCGACCGCATTACTGCTGATATGATGAAATAAATCCCGATGGTGCGAGCTGTTGTCATTTTTGACATTGCTTGCGCAACCCTTTTCTTTTCACTTGCCTTTCCCTCCCATGCCATTACAGATGCCGCGGAAGCAGGATGAATGCATTCCCAAAGCCAATGTTTTATGCATCCAAACCTCCCTTCATGTTCTTGCATTTCAAACCACATGTGCACTTGACGTGTGCTTTGCATCATGTAAAGTTACAAATAAACAGTGATTCTGGCTTTGTTTATCAATTTATCAGAGGTGATAACAGCTGTGTAACTGACGTAACCTAATGCTCGATTGCGCCATTTGCTCGCCATGATTACATCAACAATGACAATTACATGTGCTTTGTCTAATAGGATCAACAACTTTAATGTAAGGAGGAATTTTTTTACATGTGATGAGATTGGTGGTGTGGTGGTTGGGGGGGATAAAGAAGCATGAGCATGGGCGGAATAAAAGAACAAGGAAAGAAGGTACATGAAATGGTAAGAGAGTGCAGCTAGATATCTATTGCTGGGATGAAGAAGAAGAAGAAGAATGCGAGGTGATGGTAGTCGAGGAGGGGGAGGGGGAGGATGGAGATGATAAAGGTGATGAAGATGATTCCTTTGCAGCCATGTATACCTGGAACAACCGATCAGCATCATCTTCTCTATTCTTTCGATTATAGACCTTGATGAGAGCACGGTACATGGATTGCACTGGTTGCAGGTCGTATATTTTCCTCATCATATCCAACAATGCTTCAGCTCGCCAAGGATTCTGCTCTCGTAAAGCTTCGTGACGGAAGATGTAGTTGAAAGTGATCAGATTGGGCTTGATACCAGCACGTTCCATATCATAAAACAAACGACGAGCTCTGTCAAGCTGTGAATATTGACAATACCAGCGAATCATGCTGTTGTATACGGCGAGGGTGGGTTGCACATTGTAGGTGGGAAGCATTTGTCGATAAATCTGATTGATCTCATCCAGTTGACGTTGACGACCATAAGCATCGATAAGAGCGACGAATGTGTGTGCTGTGGGTTTCATACGAGGTTGTTTTGGCATAAGTTGTTGGCGTACATGGTGTGTGAGTGTATCAGGTGCAGTCGTATTGAGTGTCCAGAATGAAAAGGTCTTTTTGTTCTTCTTCTTGACCACCGCTTTCTTTTCAAAAGCATCACGAAAGACTCGCTCGACACCTTTGAGATCATCCAATTGGCCGTGTGCTTCAATCAACGTATCCACCGTAAACACATTGGGTTGAATACCAGCATGGCGCATATCCTTGAGAATACCAAATACTTGATCCGATCGACCGCTTGCAATGGCAGCACGCATGTAGAGGTTGTAAGTGTAAGCGGTGGGCAAGAGTGCTGATAGGGATGGACCATGAGCAGCATCCTCAGCGCAACGAGCTTGCATTTGATTCCAATAGCGAGTACAAGCTTCCCAATCCCCTGTGCGACCAAAGAACTCGAATAAATGGTTGTAGTCTCGAATATCCAATGGCACATTGTCCTTTTCCATCTCATTCAATACAAAGAGAAGTCGCTCCTTGACAGTCTCGATCTCTTCGGGGCCATAAGCTACCAGAGCCTTGAGTCGAAAAGATTGAAGCGCCAGTGCATGGTATCCTTTGGGAACCTTGACCTTGTCATTCAAAAGGGTATTGTACGTATTCCATACAGCCGCTTGATTCCTCTTACGCACAGCATCGCGAAACGATCGAGTGGCTTTGGCCACAGCGGGAGACTCAACAGGCCGTAATCGAAGTGAAGAAGCTGAATGTGTCATACGGAACGGAAGAGCCGTTGTTGCTGGTGTCAATCGAGGTTGCGTAGTAGCGATCCTGGCAGTAGCACGGAACAACATGGCGTGCCGACTGTTGAACATGTTGACAACAAAAGGGTCGATGAACGAGCGAGAAACAAATAAATTTTATCAAGACGACAAGGCCTGGATTTTTCACCCCTTCATCTTTGTCGCCCAACACTCGACAGCAGTCATTGACGTCACCTCATTGGTCTATACCTTTTGTGTCACTCCATGTTTCAACTTGCTCTTTGCTTTAATACTATTAGCTTTTCCTCTGTGATTATGATATGAGATGAATAAACAAGACGTTTGTAAAGGGCTCATAAGCTAATCTATATCAGTAACGATGATGATTGTGCATGTAATGAATATCAATGTCAGGTATTCCCTTTAGATTAAGCATAGTGCTGGACAAATAGACGATCAATATTAATGCAAGTGGGTCTATCGAGAACATCATCAAATGCAAATAACATACGTGTGAGCCGTTTGTGGACGAAACAGGCGTTGTTAGTTTCATTAATGTGGTCAGCCATACTACTCATCCTCATTTGAAAACGACAAGCTGACTTGCGTATTGACCAAGGCACAGCGTTACCATCATCGTTAATAAAAAAAAAAGGTATTTTATTGCTATGATCGTATGGAAAGAAGTAGTCATATAGACATACAAGGACTATACATGTTAAGGGTGGATCCATCTTTGATAGAGACTCTCACGCAGGTTTGTCACTTATCGCACGCATTGGACTTGTTCGATTAAAGATTTGAGGTCGCGCTGGTGGGAGACACACACACTGCTTTAATTCTTTTCTTTCTTCTTTTTTTTCCCTCTTTGTTTTTGTGACCATGGTGAGTCTTTGGTGCCATTGGCTTTCTCATTCTTCCACAACGAGCGACTAAAAAGTGAATATGTTGTTTAGGCAGACAAAGCACCTGATAATAGCGAGATAAAAAAGGACCGCGTACCCATCCTCTCACAATCAGCACGATCCGGTCTTCAGGTAAACAAGATTCGCATTAAGCTTTGGGTCCATGACGTGTCGTGTTGACTTTTGTATCCCTATTCTAGTTTCCTGTGGGTCGTATCCATCGTTATCTCAAGGGCAAAGGTCGTAACGGTGTTCGCGTTGGCGCCAAGGCTGCCGTGTATACCGCTGCCGTGCTTGAGTATCTTACAGCCGAAGTGCTTGAACTTGCCGGTAACGCCACCAAGGATCTCAAAGTGAAGCGTATCACCCCACGTCACTTGCAACTCGCTATTCGTGGTGATGAAGAATTGGATACCTTGATCAAGGCTACTATCGCGGGTGGCGGTGTGTTACCACATATCCACAAATCCTTGATTGGCAAAACGAACAAGATCGGCAAGAAAGTATAAAATGCGCGCGCGCGCGTTATTGTTGTTATCTCTCTCTCTCTCTCTCTGTCTCTATCTCTCTCTGTGCGTCTCTTTAAAAAAAAGTGGTCATGGCAACGACCTCCCCCACCCCCAACTCTCTCTTTGTAAATTGCTTCAGGTGGAAATATTCTTATAATCGTTGTGTGTCTTGAGCGAAAAGATAGTATTTAGCATTTTATATATATATATATACAAAAAGAAAGCAAATATCCATACAATATATAGGGTGTGAAAAGCATATACATAGGAAGGATGGGAAGGGGGAAAAGTGTAAAAGAAATGAAATGATAGGATGGGATGTAAATATAAAACACAAAATGAAAGGCATATGTAGTAGTAGTCTCATGATAATGATGTGGGTGATGGAAGCGATTGGATGTTGTTATCGTCTTCTTCCTCCTCCATACACAATAAGGAGGCACGACGTTCAAGGGTAGCGGCTTTGGTATGATCGACTTGAGTAACCCCCAATCCATTCCGATAGTAGTCTGCCAGACGATACAATGCTTTGCGGATATCTTGTTGCAACTCTTCTTCGAGCATGTCTTGAGCATCATCATTCAATTGTGTATGGAATTGCTCCAAGCGAGTATACCACTCAAACGCCTTGTCCATATCCTTTTCCACCACATGGCCATTGTCGTAGCATAGGGCTACCTCGTAAAAGACACGTGGATCACCTTCATTGGCATATCTCAAAAGAGTCGTTATTGCATCCTGTTGTTCCTCCTCCTCCTCAGTGCAAGTAGCGTGCCATTGGTGTAGTTTGTAACGAGCCATCATGATGTCGGGCACAGTACGCTCCTTATCACTGGGTGCATATTCAAAAGCAGCTTGGAAGCATGCATAGGCACGCGCACGCATCCCTGGTAGCTGATGTAACACACGCGCCATGGCAAGCTCTGCCATCCATGGTTGTTGTTCATTGTTGTTGGCTGCCACTTGGTACCATCTCAGTGCTTGTTGTAAATCAGGAACAATATGATGGATACCATGCTCGTGAAAAGTCCCCACAAACATAGCAGCATCACAATCACCTAAACTTGCAGCTTGATGGAATAACATGTACGCTTGTTCAAAATCCTGTTCTTTGGTAATAGCACCTGTGCCCAGATAGTATAATTTGCCAAGTTCACGAAGAGCATCGCGTGATCCGAGTTGTGCAGCATGATCAAGCCATTCCTCGTCGTTCAACAATGTACCAAGTAGCAACATGGCATCACGATCATTTTGCTGAGCAGCGAATTGTAGATGGTGCAGTGCTCTATCTTGATCCGATTCCAATAAAACAACGCCGTCGTGATCTTTGATGCCGTCAAGATAATACAAGCCAAGATGATAATGTGCACGAGCATGATTCGCCATACGACAGGCCATCTCAAACCAGCGATGTGCCTCCATATCATAGGATCGATCACTTTCGGGAGGAGGCGATACAAGACCTTGTGCATAGATACTTCCAATGCGATAGAGCGCTTCGGCGTCACCTGTCACTTTGACGGATTTGAGATACCAATCGAGTGCTTGTTGGTAGTCCTGCTTGGTTCCCAGCCCATATTCGTGACATTGCCCGAGAGAATGATAAGCCTCTACACATCCTTCGTTCTTTGCGCAATCCAAAAGTTCCTGTAAATGAAAAAGTTAACATGTATGCTTCCTCTTTCACCATATGCAACCCATGTACATTCATACCTTATAAGCAGCTTGTGGATCAGGTTCGATACCCGATATACCATCTCCCAACAAATAACGAGCACGCATCACTCTGGCAAGTGGATGATTTTGCTCTGCTGCCCTTTCATAATACTTGTGGGCTGTTGTATATTCCTGCTGCTCATGCCATATCTGGGCCAAAAGAAACATGGCCTCGACGTGATCTGCTAATGCCGCCTTTTCCAAATAGTGTTTGGCCAATTCTGTCTTCTCATCATGTTGCTGCTGTATCATCATCAACCTTTGCTCTTGGTCCTCTGACGCTGGTGGTTGTTGTTGTTGTTCTTGTAATGTCATTCCATTCGTCTTGAGCAGTGCAGCTTCAGCGAGATAAATACGACCCAAGTAAAAGTGTGATTCAATATCACCAGCGTGTGCTGCTCCCGCCAAGAGCTCAATGGCGTCCATATATTGCTGTGTCATGCATTCCTTATTCTCTTGTGGCATATGCTCCAATAATAATCGTGCTTGACATCGCATGGAAGATGGATCTCCTTGCTGAGTACCATTTTGCCAACAATGAAGTGCCATTGTCTTGTCGCCTTTTTCGTACGCCATTTCACCCAGTGCCCAATGACTCTGACCATAACCTTGCGTAGCTGCATCTTGAAATAGCATGGTTGCTTTCTCCTCATCGATCGTTATGCTGTGCAACCCACGCCAATAAGCCATGCCTACATTGTTTACATATATGCGTGTAAACATTTACAAAGAACTATACCTCATCTGTGCTTCCCATGTATTACCTAATTGATATTGCCCTGCGGGATGTCCTCTTTCAGCTGCACGTTGGAGCAAATCCATAGCATGTCCTTGATCCCCTGGCACACCTGGACCACCTTGACTGTGAATAAGGCCAAGTTGTACCAATGCTTCGACATTGTCATCCTCTTCCACGGCTTTTTGGTACCACTCGATAGCTTGCACAAGGTCAATCGATGTCCCAATGCCATATTGGAAACAATACGCTATATTTGGTGAATTAGAACATTTATATTCAATCCTTGCAATGTCATACATACCAAGCCAATAAAAAGCAGGTGTAAATGGATCGCCATTGTCCTCCGTGATAGCAAGATGGGATAACATCTTAAAGGCATCCTCCTTGGTTTCGCCAAAGGGCATGTCGTCATAATCCACAATGTATCGGCTCATCATCCACTTTGCTGTCTTGCTCGTTGTGGTTGACTTTAGTCGATGGTCGTTGGCGGTGAGTTTATAGTGTGTGTAAGCTTCATGGATACGGTTGAGCTCATTATATAATTGAGCAGCAGCAAAGGAAGCACTATAATAAGAATGAAATGAGAAACAAAGAACGTATGTACTAAGAACAAAAAGGGGTTTCCTTACAATGGATCCTTCAGCTTGGCTGAACGTTGATAAAGTTCGAGTGCCCTTTCCTGATCTTGGATGGTTCCATGACCGTGCTCATAACAATTGCCCAAAAGGAGTGTGGCGGCGGGATCATCTTGAGCTGCTGCTCTTGAAAATAATGCAAATGCTCGCTCGTAGTCTCGTGCGACACCAATGCCAGCATGATAGAGCTTACCAAGCTCACGTTGTGCTGTTGCATGATCCATCGAAGCTGCTTTTGTGTAATAATGCACTGCCCGACTACGTTGCTGGTCTCGATCACGTTTTCCTTTCAATGTAAGGGTGGGTGCCGCTGCCAAGGAGAGCAAAATATCCCCAAGTCGTTCCATAGCATTCACATTGCCCATATCAGCCGCCTTTTCAAAGTATTGCATTGCTTTGTTCAGGTTGTCCTTTTTGATGTCCACGCTCTCGTCCTCTTGAAGAGTCATTGTTGTTGTTGTCGCCATGGTGTAATAGTGGTAACCAAGTGTAACGAGTGCATCTTGATGGCCATGACTAGCAGCCTTTTTGTACCAAGCCAATGCTTTTGAACGATCACATTCGACACCCATCCCCTTGGCATACATGCGAGCCAACTAAAGGATGCTCTCGTGAGAACTTTTTCCCTCTTTGTTTAGAAAAAGATAATATTTACCTGATATTCCGAATCGAGTACACTTGTTTTTGCTGCAATGGAGTAATGTTCAAACGCGGCTGCATAATTGATCTCGCATACATCGGGGATTCCTTCAAGATAGCATGTGGCTAACCAATAATGGGCATGGCCATCTTGTTCGGTATGGGCTGTCAGCTCTGTCAGGATATTGTAGGCGCGTTGTCTGTCAATGGTAACACCACCCCAGCCATGCAGGTGATATCTTGCAACCATGAGTCTAGCACGTCGTGTTGGCCAGTGATAGTCGTACGAAGACGCCCCTAATTGTGCTTCATCACATGTTGCTTCTTCTTCTTCTTCAATGTCATCCTCCTCCTCTTTGTTGGCTGCCAAAGTAAACCAATGATAGGCTTCTGATAATCGTCCCATACGTAATAAAAGATCTGCCATAGCATGTTGTGCCTTGGCTTGGCAAGGTGAATCCTCCTTTTGAGCTGCTTTTTGATAATATTCAAGAGCTGTCTTTCTATTGACGGGTACACCACGACCTTGCTCATAGCATTGTCCCACAAGAATATATGCATATAAATCATGCCGTTGTGCTGCTCGATAAAACCATTGGAATGCCAACTTGTCGGATTTCTTGTGATGTACACGGGAGCCTGCTACTGCTGCTGTTGTTGTCGTATCTTTCAATCCAGTGAGCACCCATCCTTCTCGATACATGAAACCAAGGAATCGTTGAGCGGGTGTATAGCCTGCCTTTGCCGATTGTTGAATCAATTGATCAGCGAGGGCCAAGTTGCATTTGAGACCAAGGCTGCCTTTTCGATAGCCAAGAGCAAGTTGAAAGAGAGCACCCGGATGACCTTGTTCAGCAGCAGCTTTGAAACAATGCACTGTCTTTTCCCAATCTTGCTTCACCGTCGCCATCGCTGTTGCAGATGTTTGATAGCGTCGATGTTGTCCACTTTTGTAAAGCAATCCAAGTCGAAAGAGAGCACGAGGATCACCCTTTTTATATGTTGTTGTTAGTGAATAGGTCATCAAACAAGGTGTTCCCCCCCCCTCTTCCTTTTATACCTTTTGTTCAGCTCGCTCCAACCATATCAAAGCACGATCATACTCGTCATCCTCCAAATGCAAGATACCCAGGGCTGTTTTTGAATGAACAAATCCTTGCTTGGCACTCTCTTCCAGATAGCTCTTAGCCTTGATCCTATCGATAGTATCCACCTCCAATCCCATTGCATAATGAATGGCCACGATGAACTGTGCCTGCCTACAACGGATATCCATCATCATAAGTATATGGCATTTCTCTTTTTTCACCCTCACACTTACGCATTGCCATTGTCTGCACTCTTGAGAAACCAATGAAAGGCTTTTTGATTGTCATGTTCCTGAGTCATCAATATCCCCAAATGCAATTGAGCAAGGGCCACAGTGGGACGAACGGTCTTGTCTGTTGTGGTGGTGGGATCCAATTGAGCAGCTGTGCTAAACCATTGACGAGCCATTGTTGTATCCACAGGCTGGATGATACGATCATCCTGTTTGGTCACAACACCGCGTAAATAACATATAGCAAGAGGGAAGAAGGCTTGCCAGCATCCACCATGAGCAAGTGCTTTGAGGTGATTGAATCCATGAGAAGGATCTTGATTGTACTCCACGTGATAACGTGCCACCCATACTTGTGCTGCTCGCCTCGTATCTTCATCATCGACTTGCTGGCTCCATTGTAACGCTGCATTGTAGGCTGCATAGACTGGGTCCTTTTGATCACGTTGTTGTTGTTGTTGTTGTTGTTGTTGCTCGTAAGCTGATGCAAAAGCTCTGTCCAGAATGAGTTGGGTTTCATGGGGCGCATTGACCAGTTGATTCAGAATGGACTTTGTGGTGATGGGTGTTGTTGTTGCTTTTTCATTGACATGGGAAGAAGGAGCCAATGACGATGAGGTTGACGATGCATTGGAACATGTGGTTGTGGCTGCTGTCACCTGAGCAACAATGGAAGCTGTGTTGGTGGGTTTATCATCAAGGCAAAAATGCGAAAGTTCAGTGGCGGTAGTGATGTTGGATGAGATATGAGAAAATAAAACGCTGCTTTGTTGCCATCCCGATGAATAGCCGCTATCGAGTACATGTTGGTTGTTATAGCTTCTTGTGGTTGATTTGGTCGCTTGCTTCAAGTTCGTGTCATTATAATGGGAGTGCGTCGTCGGATCTAATGCCCCGTGCCTGGTTGTACAACGTGACAAGGTTGACTCAGTCTCTTCCTCCTTCTTCTTGCTGGAGATGATGGGTCGTTGTTGTTGTTGTTGTTGGGATTGACGATAAAGGTGTAATTTGCTACTTGTTCTACTGCCACTGCTACTACTACCATCACCCATCATCATACGTGATGAGCGTTGTGACCGTAGACTCGACTCGTAGTTGAGCTTGCTTTGGTTGACACCCATCAGATACGAGGGAGGATGTGAATGTAATATACAGTGTTAAAGAGAGAGGTGGAGGCGATGTGTTATATAAAAGAGTAAGTGAGAGTGAGAGTGAGAGTGAGAAAGAGGGAAAAAGAATGAATGAACAAGAAAGGGTTAAATCCTTGCACTTGTCTTTTTAAGACCGGCGACCGCTTTTTACTACTTGCTGTAGTATGTGCATGTGTATATGTATTTGTAAACAATCGAGCCATTGCTCCTCTCCCCTTCCGATGCCATCAACATGACATGCAGATCAATTACCATACAACACGACGACACTCACAAATGACAGGACTCACCCATATATCCCTATCCTTGGAACAATCATCATGGTTCATCTCAACATCACGCACACGCAATATGACAACGATTGTATTTCTTAATACATCATCCGCAACAGCACAACGTACACCCAAAGCAACCAATGTGCTCGTGATACAGTGTTTGGGTTTGTTCACTTGTGTCACTTGCAGGAGACTAAACAGAACATCTCGGCTCGTGCTCCGTGTTCCGATCAACATCACCCCTCCAAGCTTTGTGTACAGTTGCATATGTAGATATCACCGCCTTTCTGGTACCCGCCATTACAAGTAACGCCTATCGATATATACACCGTTCTTTGTCAAACGTCATCCAAAAGTCCCAGCGGTGCTGTTTTATTGTATTGTATATCAAATGCTTGTGCTACATGTCATTTCTTTCCTTTTAGCTGCACATTTTTGTTGGGGATCAAATAATGGTGCTATGATGACAAACATAGCCAAGGATAATAAACAACATCATCCAATCTAGGCACGCCTTGACATTACATACATAGCTACCAAGCTGAATAGGATAGGATCTTCCCGGTGAGCTATACACGAGTCCTGTGACACGCACGCGCGTTTTTGTGCACCTTGGTCGCACACACACAGACAACGTGATCTCCCAACTGTTGTCTAACACGCACGGATGGGTACACCCGCTTCATATAGACAAATACAGAAGAACCAAACTCACTCATCTTTGGCTTTAATGTGGCAAACAATACAATGAGGATGGCTTGACCCATTACGTTCTCTTTAACAACCATCAATCACTTTATTATGTGCAAGGATCACCTTAACGGCAGCATGAAGGGGGGGGAAGAAAGCACGTAGTAGACAACATTTGGGTGCATCTCGTGAAGTGGGAAAGAGGATGAATGATGGGTGAAGCTGATTTATCGAAAACCTCTACCATTGATGCACTTTGGTGGTGTCAATTGATGGATCGTATCATACGATTTGCTTTGATGGTTTTTTGACATAGGTCCAAAGGTCATATGTACGATATAACAATAATGCATGTGAGATCGGCCTATCATAAGACTATGCATTGCATGCAAACATCACCATCCTTTTTGTTTGGATGGAGCATTTTACAACTTGCAAAAGGCCGTGTGCTCGGCCCGAAATTCCGTTTACTATTGTATTTGCATAAAAGGATGTTGCTGCACATTGCTCCAAGCGGTGTAATTCTGCACTCTTGTCCCTGAATGCGGTATTCCAAGCGGTTGTTTCATCCCTTGGCTGATCTGATCCACCCGCTAAAAGAGCGAGACAAGGCGAATCATTAAGCTCATGGTTGTTTCAGAATCGTGTACAGATTATTAGCCATCGGCACACAACCGCGCGCACGCACACATTCTTTGATCTTTTCAAGGATGTCCAAAACACTGAAACACATATCATCAACGGCATAAACGCATACAATCCCATGTTTCATTTGGCGTATTCATCACTTTTATGCACACTTTTTCAAAAAAGCCAAGAGCTGTAAATTTATTACTAGACTCATTTGCTAACGCTGAATTCGATATCCTTGTAATACGTTGAAGTATCGGTGGATGATGCATACTCCTTGCTTCCACCACCGAAAAAGGTGCTGAACATGAGACTGCTAACACCAAGTTGGTCTGTGGTTCTGTACTTGATATTGGAGGCATCAATGAGAAGCGAGTCGTCTTGCCACACCTTGAGTTCGCCATTAGAGTCACTAGCATCATTCATTTTGACGTAGATTTCCATCTTTGTCCACTCGTTGGTTTTGAATTTGATAGCACCTCGTGAGAAGCTGATGCCAAAGCCATCAATACAGGTAACATTATTTTTGTTTGAATCGCAAATTTCGTTGTCAGGGATATAAGCATAGGCCTCGCCTTCTCCTATAGATGATGGTGGCAGTGGTTAGACTTTGGTAGTGTTTGGAAACGACTACACATACCTTCTTCACGCCACATGAGTCGGAGCGAAAAGCAATTACTACCATCCGCCTTATCACCACCAGAGCATTTTTCATCCTCGCCACCTAAATTGATAATTAGCATACTTTTGAAAAGATCGATGAAGATGATGGACTTTATATACATACCTCCAAAGATGCCAGGCAATTTACCACCTTGAACCCAATCAAAGCCATCATCAAAGGCGACTTGATAACTTAACAAGGCACTGTCAAAAGATGCTGATTCGCCAAAGGGATAAGCATTAAACTCGCAACCACCGATCGCACCATCATCCTTGGCAGCATAAGATCCAGCCTTGTACTGCACCTCCATTACGCCCGAATCATCGGTGGTATTACTGCTGCTGCTGCTTCCACCCACAGGATCTTTTGTAAATGATACGTCTTCCTTGCCATAAAAGTTGTGATTCATCACGCCCCAATTTTCTGACATGAATTGGGCGATGTCTCCTCCTTTGGTGGCGTTCATGGGTGCACTCCAAGTTTGCGTGAGACCCAACTCTTTGGCACGCGATGAAGGTGGTTGTTGTTGTGCGGCCAGCACACAACTAAGCATCATGGTTGCTACTGTACATACATTTAAGAGCATCGTGTATCTCCTGCTGAAAAGTGGGAAAGATGAATTCAGGGGGAACAAAAGCCAAAGCGCGTTTCCTTATATATATTTTCACTTACCTCTGTGCGGACTTGGGCCTGTGTAATTAACCTTCTTGGTACATCCAAGAATCCAGATCGGTCTTGTTCTCACCGTTATTTTTCTAGAATACAAACAAGTAATAGTGCTGCCTGATTGTTGAGAACGATGACGACGTCAAATGGCGCCTATTCCTTTGATGACGATCATGGCTGGCTGATAAGAAGCTTCTAGGATACCATCATCATTTCGCTCTTTGAATAACATCATTGTCTGGATCAAAGCCTTCCATCACAGATTCACCACCCTATCATCAAAACCACTCCATGGTATACGTATTGGTTGCCATGACGACCAACATGTAGGCTGTGCAACGCGTCTGTACGACGACAAACATCATCATTAGATCTCAAGTCAGCGCTTTGGCCAAGTTGTTGAGCAACCACCATTGCCAATAGCATATGGAAGCACTGTCATCTTAGGAAGCCATCCACGTATAAAATAGCTATCAACATCACCCTTACATACACACCAAAAGATGCGACACGACAACATGAATGGCGGGGTTCAGCCCTTTACTTTTTAAGCATTGTTATTGTACATCATCCTACGATCATAAACATGCAAATGACAATAATGAGTATCCATGACACAATGCCTGCTACAGGCACACTACCATCCTAAAGAAACTAATTTGATACAACGTGGTGTGCGTTTCTCTTATGTCGTTTGCAAAGGACTAGAATGCACGTCGCGACTCGTATACTTTGGGTTCCGATCTCCACCCTTTCCAAGGTTTGTATACAGCTGTGTTTGCCCATACATGAGTCACCGCTTCTTGGTATGCGTATTACGAGTAGCACGTGCGATATCGTTGTGATTGCTCACACAAGCCCAGCCTTGTACGCATTTCACTAAGGGGTAGCTATACATTAGAAAGGCTCGTTTGCCTGCTGATCTGGATGATCCATATCATTTACATTCACTAGATAAGGAATTTGTTTAGCTTAATACTGGCGTGGTGGTCTCGACTAGCAGAATTTTCTAGTTGCAAGGATTAGCTTCCATGACACGACTTGTGACACCCCTTGTCGATGATTAAACGAAACCCTCCATGCTCATTGGTATGTGTAGCTCGTATTACAACCCTGGATCCAACGTTTCCACCATCGTAACACTGCTAGTACAATGACAACTTTCAACTTGTGATAATACATGTGGCCTTCTTTTATTGATATCCAAATGGGTAAACTCCTTCTAATTATTATCGTTCCTGAATGCGGTATTGGAAGCGGTTGTTTCAGTATCATCTTCATCATTACATGATTGAACCAAAATATATAAAGGTGAGACATTGCGAATAACAGGCTTGATATTGAATTGGTGGTTTCAGAATCGTGCACAGATCGATGTACAGCTGCCCAAATGCATCTCACACCATGATGTGTGATCAACGGCATAATGCATGTTTCACTCGGCATATCCTTAACTCCCCTATGTACTTTTTTTTTGTCGATCCAAAAGAAAAAAAAATGTACAAACGATGAAAACAGGGCGATAGAATCATAAATTTACTAGCCAACGCTCATTTCGATATCTTTGAAATAGGCCGATGTGTCGACTGCAGATGCATACGCTAGACCAGCACCACCAAAAAAGGTGCTAAACATTAGGCTGGTGGCTCCAATCTTGTTGGATGTCCTATATTTGATATTGGAGGCATTGATGACAAGTGCCCCATCTTGCCATACTTTGAGTTCGCCATTGGATGCATTGGCATCATTCATTTTGACGTAGACTGACAGCTTTGTCCACGTGTTGGTTTTGAATTTGATCGCCCCACGCGAGATGCTAACGCCGTATCCACCTTCACACGTAACGTTTTTCTTGCCTGAATCACAAAGGCCGTTTTCAGGAATATAAGCATAGGCCTCACCATTTCCTTTATGACATGGATCATTGTTAATCTTGTTTTCAATGGCATCAAAATAGAAAAACGACATACCATTTGAACGCCACATGAGCCGCATCGAGAAGCAATTGGTGCCGTCAGCCAAATTACCACCAGAACAACGAGCAGCCGCATCACCTTAAGACCATCATTATTAGCATCCATGTGTGTGTATATGTGACAACTAGTAGAGTACTACGTACCTCCAAAGATACCAGGCAATTTACCACCTTCAACCCATTCAAATCCTTCAGCAAATGCAACTTGGTAACTCACCATAGCACTTTCATAGGATGCTGAACGGCCAAAGGGATAGACGTTGAACTCGCAACCACTTGTACCACCAACGCCCATAGCACCATAGGCACCCTCCTTGTATTTGACTTGAAGTACACTCGTGTTGTTGTCTCCGCTTATAGGATCGTTTGTAAATGATACGTCCTGATGACCATAAAAGTTGGCATTTGGGACATGCCAATTTTTGGCCAAGTAATGTGCTGCATTGCCTCCTTTGGGCCCATTCATGGGGGCTGTCCAAGATTGCTGTGCGGTGACCAATGCACCACAACCCACCACCATGGTGGTTATTAATGTCGTCAATACATGCGAAACCATGTTGATGATCGTAAAAGTATTACTACTACTATATTGAAAGTATAATGATAATGGATGATGAAAGCTCGGTTGGGGCCCCACGTGGATGTCAATTTTTATACTCACGAGTTTCATTCATGCGTTTCAAGATGTCTCATTATGGATGGGTGACAAATGGGGTATACTGCATACTGCGCTGTGTATTACGAAATGCGGAAATTTGTAGTGGGCGGGATCCAAGCTCACGTAATCGCCGATTTGGCCATATGCCTAGGCAAAAATTATTATACATTTGACAGCTTGAACCTGAAACATTTTAATGCAACAGTGATGGACGCTTATTGTGCGATCCAAAATCAAAACAAGAATGTATGGCTCATCATACAACGCAATTGGAACTATGTATACATAATTTGGGCATAAAACAAAGGTCATAGAAGGAGAAGGGTACTACGGCTCTTGCATGGATTCTCGTCCTGTGTTCATAGCGAAGTTCAATTCGCATTCTTCAAATGCCTTCGCTATAGCGTCTTCGTTCTCAACACTTGTGATCTTGTGTGCTCAGCCTGTAATACTGAACAACTTGTTGTTGCTTCAATAACAGCTCTCCTAAGAAAGTAAATAGACATGATCTTTGTTTCGCCTAATGATACCCGATACCAACCTGCAGATGAGCTATTAGGTCAAATCTCCATCAGTCATAGACCTCGTTAAAGCTTATTGGCACGTTTGCACTTCGACGCTCTTTCACCACTAGCTTTTATTTTTGTGTTCGTTGGTGATACGAAGAGCCTCAACGGACTTTTGAGCATGTACCTATGCCACCTACAAAGGAGTCTCGATTTCTCATCAGTCTAGGCATCCTTTCGACATGTACTTAAGTGGTGGTTATACCTACCCCAAAAGGTTCAACAAGGAACACAGTGTAAAGCAGTGAAGTGAGCTACATAGATGAATGCATGAGCACCCTCATATTTGAATCACATAAAGACCATCCTTGAGACTTACCAAAGGCCATTGATGATGATGTGCGTACAACAAGAAAGGAAGGCGTATGATAGTGTTGGTGACCACAGCCTTGTTTATAGGTGAGTGGGCGTGGGAAGTGTTGTCATGATGGATCAAACTGATAAAGTGGTCAAGCATCTTGGAGTACTGATCCGAGGTAGTGGAAAATCAGCACTGATAAATTCACCTGCCTCTTGAACGGCGATTTTTGTAGATAAATAAGCATGTTCACCCCCTCTTTGTCCTGTAGACCTTGTTTACTCCAGACATTGATTGATCATGGCGTCATGGTTATATTTGCATTGTTCATAGTTTTGATCGAAAAGGTAGGAAAGAATCTCATTACAATAGCCAGTATTTGATTCATTATGGGTAACTAGCTACTACCACGTATCCCAGCTATGGAAGTATGTTTGGTTGCCAAGGGTCCTTGCAAGGTGTTGAATTCAAAATCACGTGACGCTTCCATTCATGTCCATTGTTTGTTTGCATGATTGTAAATGGCTTTTTTGAATGTCAATGCTACACAAGACAGGGCCATAGATGTCGTACAAGCAAGAGAACAAGAGAGAGAGCTTGCGAAAAAGCATTGAGCGGAGACAAAACACGCACTTGTTGGCCGCTAGCTGGATTCGTTTGGTCCCGTTACTATTCCTACTTGTCTTTCCCCTTTCCACCCCATTTTTGCTTCCCGGCGTCTTTCCCTACTCCAATGTCCATTGTTCAAACCTTTGACCACCATTGCAACCTTGACGACGGCAAAGTCATCAACGATCCGATCCATGTAAGAGGAATGCCGCAACAAGGCGAGTCGACAGTGCTAATGGAACCAAACAGGGCCATATTCGCCTGGATCAATACACGATAGACGTCATGGATACTGTGCAATTCCAACGACTTCGAGATCTCAAGCAGGTATAATACAACGAGACGAAGAGAAACAATGGGAGGGTGTATCCATATGCATGTATCTAATGGGTTGGGTGAATATAGCTTGGTTCAGCCTATTTTGTATTTCCTGGTGGCAGCCACAATCGTTTCGAGCATTCTATTGGTAAGAGCTTCAGTAACTTGGTGATTCCATGGATACGTATACCAATCTCCTTTTTTTACTGTGTAGGTGTATCGCATTTGGCAGGCACATTGATTGAACGCTTTCAAAAAGACCAACCCGAACTCGAGATTACCAATGATGAAGTCAAATGTGTCAAATTGGCTGGGTAAGTTTAGTTGTTGGCAATAGACTACGTACGTTCGTTGAATCTAATCAGGATGTCCATTGTAGTCTTTGCCATGATTTGGGTAACTATGCTTGTATATGCGTGGGAAAACTAACATTAGCTGACATGGATGGTCATTAGGCCACGGACCTTTCAGCCATGTGTTCGATAGTGAAGTAATGCCTCGAGCAAGGTACGTATGCAGAGATGCAAGCACCTTACAAGATCCTTAATATCATTTTCTTCTTGTAGACCTGGATATCAATGGTCGCATGAACAAGCATCTGAAATGATGCTCGAGTACCTCGTTGACGACAACAATATTGACATTGAACGGGACCATCTCAACTTGATCAAGGATCTAATTGCTGGTGCACCTCGCTCACAAAGGTACATGTCATGGCATGGTCATTTGATGATTCATTTGTTTGCTTATCATTCCTGTTGTGCTGCTCTTTTATAGCCAATTCCAGGAACGACGATTTTTGTTTGATATCGTTGCCAACAAGAGGAACAGCGTGGATGTGGACAAGTTTGATTACATTGAGCGTGACACCCACAATATTGGTCTACGAAGCTCATACGATGCCAAGCGCTTGCTCATGTTCAGTCGCGTCGTTAACAACGAGATCTGCTATCATCACAAAGAGGTCTACAACATTTATGAGATGTTCCATACACGATATAGTCTTTTCAAACGCATTTATACCCACCGTGTTGGTAAGCATCCCCCTCGTATCATATATGTCTACTATACACCTAGCTAATCTTGATATTGAATAGGCAAAGCAGTGGAGCTGATGATTACAGATGCTCTTTTGCATGCAGGTAAAGCAAGTTTGTGAGGGGTTACGCATGCTGGGATCTTAATCGTCTCATTTATTAGACTCGTATCTCAAAATTTCTTCCGCTGTGGATCGGCCTGAGGATTACTTATATTTGACGGATGACATTTTGCGCATGATTGAGCGTTCCAAGGAACCTGAACTTGAGACATCAAGGAGTATCATGAAACGGTTGCGTACTCGAGATCTCTACAAGTTTGTCGACGAGTTTTTGATCCCACCCGAGATTCAAGGCCATCTCACAAAGGTAAAAGATCGGATGATGGGGATGGAAAAGGGTACATGCTAATACATAGCTTTAGGACAAGGTGAATGTCCAAGAAATCATGGGCTACCAATCGACAAATGACAACCTGCAAGAAGATGAAATAGTGGTTGCATGGGGAAAGGTCAACTATGCAATGAAGGATAGGAACCCTGTGGATTCGATTCGATTCTTTTCCAAATTCAATGATAATGGTAAGGCAATAGAAGCATGATATGGGTAATAAGCACAAGACTAATCGCATTCTTTTATAGAATCCTTCACGATCCCCAAGCAACAAGTCTCATTCATGATCCCAAGTCAATTTGAAGAGGTTGTTATCCGTGTATTTACGCGTAATCCACAAAAGACACCTGCCATCCAGAAAGCATTCAGGAAGCTGTTGAAGCAAATTGTCCCATCCGATGCATTGCCAGAGCCCAGCGCTGCACTGACCCTGCCTAATGATTACGCCGATATTATGCGAGTTAAACGCGCACGATCAAGTAGTTTTAGTCGATCTGATAACAATGGTCCCAACAAACGTTCATCTCTCGCATAAAAAGTTTAAGATAATAAATTGTGTACTACTACTAGATTAAATATCGCTTGTTTCTGGGAAAGTCCAACACTAATTAGAGTGGATGATGATGCTCACATTCATACATTGGGATTGGTACATAACTCACCTCTCGAAACTCAATGGAGGATCACCCTTTCTCTTAAGCTCAACCCCTCTCTCGTTATCTATCATCAGAATACGTGTTATGTACGTATGCATGTATTCATGGTCCTTACAAGGCCGATAACAGAACCGTTTTTATTTCATCAAAAGCTCTCATATTAATCTACTACAAACAACCAAGAAGGGAATAAGCTACACCAAATTCCAAGTGGGTAATAACCCATCCTTTCTTCTAGCTGATCCTCGTCTCTATAGATAAAACCAGCCACCATCAATAAACCGGGTACGTGTTGGGAGGATGTTGTTCATCAAAACCACAGAGGGATGCAAATAGGCCGAATCACCATCCTTTGTGAAAGCACTGCACACGATTCAAGCAAATCCAGGTCGACCCAAGGACATCGCTTTCGTAGTTGCCCAGACTCATACTTGCTCTCGTTCATCCTCTTCTCTAAAGGAAGAAGGACCCCTCATCTTTCCAATCCTCAAAGAGTAACCACCAGCATATTGTGAAAGCGGCCTGTCTTGTGCACTGATGATGTCAAACGACCCAAAAGGTACAGGTTTGGGAGTCGAACCCAAAGAGATGATGATGATGCCCAAAGTTGGATTGCCTGACCAAAGAAACCTATTCAATTCGTTATTACCATGCATATACAATAAACACCTCTTTCATCTTCTTTGTTCACTGTACTTGCCTTTTTCATATACACAAAGTACCTTGTTGCTGGCTACTTGGGAAACCAAAGACCACGATGTAGTGTAGGCGAGTCGAGTCAAAAGCCAAATGAGCCAACGTCTTTGCGATCGAATCTCGTGGTCTATACAAGCTAACATTTCAATGGAGCAAGTTCTACTACAACATTGGCGCTGAATGTACCTGTTGGCACCAAGCATGGAGCGGCATAGCAACGAAGAAAAAAGAGCTGTGATGATTCACCTTGACTACAACCACCCGTACTACATAGCACATACAGCACTTGCGCACACGCGCATCCTCCCACTCAATCAAGATCCCCACATGCATGATCATTATACCATTGCACAATCAAAGGCTTGTCATATTTGAATTACCTTTCCATCCTTTATTAAAGAGTTCATTTCAAGTTATCATCTTTGCGTGATCAATTATGGGAGAAGAAAGTTTTTAAAAGTAAAGTTTATTGGATATCAAGTTATAAGACTATTTAATGCCATGCTTAGCCCATCATAATGATGGTTTCCAGATGTGACCACGAGGAGGTGATGACAATCCACATCCGTAGTTTTACGTCTTCCCGGACGGGCCCTTTTAACGTCTATCGCGGACGGCTAGTTATACGTCATTTGAGCTACGACGGCAGCATTTATAGAAAATGTGCGAAAAGGCGTTTACGTCTGACGACGGCAAACATTTTACGAATGTGCAAACGGGAGTTTACGTCTTACCAAGACGGGCCCTTTTAACGTCTATCGCGGACGGCTAGTTGTACGTCATTTAAGCTACGACGGCCATTTTAACGTAAATGTGCAAACGTGATAGTAACGTACCATCAAGACGGCTTCGGGCGTGAAGCAGACGCAGTAGTTAACGTACTACCGAAACGGGTCTTTTTTAACGTGTTATGGACGTACCTAACAACACGGGCATGTTTACGTAGGCCAAGACGGGCAGTTTACGTCTTACCAAGACGGGCCCTTTTAACGTCTATCGCGGACGGCTAGTTATACGTCATTTAAGCTACGACGGCAACGTTTATGTCGATGCAAGACATCTCGATCAGCAAAGCCAAAGGAGAAAGAGGTGCGCAACCTGGGGGTTGAAGTGCTGCGGAAAAAATAGTTTTCGTTTATAGCCTTTGCCATGCTGAGACTGAAAATGGAAAAGTCACAGCGGCCATTGTATGTCTTCTTTATGGCGTGTTAGCTGAAGAGGTTATGGTAAAAGACACGCATGCACAAAGACACACTTCTTGTACCTTGGATCATTGCTATATGGGGAAGGTGCTAATGCGTGCACGGATCACCAGCTGCAAGCAGTGGTGGAGTTTTAGCGGATATTGATCGGAGACCCTCGAACATGATCCCCTTTGTGCAAGGTTTTGACTTGTAGCATAGCCATCATTGCAGCAAAGTATATCGGTCATTCATGTGTAATGGGTAAAAAGCTTTAATAATTGACACAAACTCTCGCTCTTATGTATCTATAGCTACCGTATATGAATTGGCAGGTTGGTTTCCATGGCGGCGTTTCTTCTTCACAGCACCCACTCAACGCCGACTCCTCCAGAGTACTCACTGATGCCGTTTCCATCGCAACAACAACAGCGTCAACGGTGAAACGAAACAACCGTGGAGCGCATCAAACAAGGACTGGTGACCCATGTGGCTACCTCATTGACCAAGAGAGTAACCACGATCCACCCATGGCAGAAGCAACACAATAGGTATGTCCAAACACGACTTCCGGCTTTTATGGTAACAAGGCATCGTTCATCCATTTTCACAAGATCCAAGGCAAAAGGGAATGGTGTATTTGATATAAGGCGTATCTCACTTTGAACCTGTTACGTTGGATGATCCCATGACAATGATCACAAAAAGTGCGTTTATATGGATGATACGGGTAGCAATGGATCGGCAAAGGCAATCATTGAGCACGCAAATATTGATGACATGACACAATTCACCAAGGATCCTGGACAACGATGGATGATGGTGGTATCAAACAAGATAAAGGCGATAAGGTTATTTTACAAGGAGGTACGGCGTGTTGGTTGATCGAAGCGCCCCGTTGTAGATGTATCTTGCTATGGCAACAAGGACACAGTGAAGTGACAGGATCAAGAACGCTTTGGGACGATACCTGGTTTATCCTTGCAATTATGGATGCCCTTTGCTCAGACGAGATTCCAAGCGTGGGAACAACGCTGATAAAGATTTGGATGATTTGATCTTGGTCATGAAAGGAGGTGGTGGTGTCCATGCTTGTATTATGTAGCTATTAGCATGGTAGTGAGTATGGTTATAGAAAGGATGATGGTCTTAAAGAGCGTCGCAATAAAAGTGAGGCAAGACTTGAATTTTGTTTCCAAAAAAGGCTGGAGTTGAAGTGACTTAGGCGTTCAAGTGCTCCCTCCCCTCACATAGTGTGCTATACATGTCGTCTAGACTATCATATATAACTTAACTCGCTCATATTAACATTGCAATACATCCTTTATTGTCAGGCATATGGCGGTAAGCACGAGCGAAGCGGTATCAAGTTGCACCTTAACTTTGTAGGTTGTCACATCCCACCAGTAGGTCCCCAACCCTAATGGTATTCGTGGTCCAAAGATATGTATCATATGATATTTGCACCCATTGATAGTATGAAAAGCGTCAACGTTCTGCATTCCAAGTTCTGTGATGCAAGCAAAAAGCTCTCGGCAGCTGCAGCACTCAAAACGCCGGTGATATGAAATGGCTGGCTGGAAGTAGCGTCAATTCAGTTATAAAAAAGAACCAGTGAGCGTGTGCGGTTGTGTGGAAAAAACGTTTTCAATAAGACTTACATTGCTTTTAAAAGATCTCGGGAAATGAATGTGCAACTTTGAACAGTGTTAATGTAAGGACTTGATCAACATTTCCAACTACTTACAAGTTATCTCCACACTTTTGCTCTCGTCGTTCGTATTCATAAGCTCTACATGAGATGGTCCAAGTCAACGTAACTCCTTCAATAAATTCTACGACATACTGTGAACTTTCTCGAGGTGATTGCGAAGGGTGCACGACGAGGATAGTTCTTGCTCACAAGAGTGGCAGGAGTAGACGATCAGTATGTCTTGCAGGAAGCCGTTAAGTCACCACCACGGGAGTTGGGGTGGTCCCCTTGCTCTTTGCACATGTCAAATCATGCACCAAGTTAATTGCAGCACCAGACTTAGGCCATGGCACCAAAATCAACTTTTGAATATGCTTCACGGAGAGATAGCTTTATCAAAAGTAACAGGATGGCGTGTATGAGTAGTGACTCATCAAGCAGCATGATCAGACTTTTTTACCTCGTTAAGATCAGCACTTGTTCACAAAGTTTGCAAGAAATGGAATACGTACAGAGCTTGAAAAGTTGACCGTGTAAGCAATCAAAGGAATTTGACAGAGAAAAGAGACATGTGGGAGTATGATGGGCGGCGACAACATCCTTTTATTGTGCATTGTGGGCGTGGGTATCTTTGATAAATTGATGTATGAGATGATAGAGTGATGGGGCGCATATACCAGGATTAAGTCTGAAGAGCCTAGTGCAATGTTGTCTATGCAAACATCCTAATCGGCCAATTAAGGGATTTAAACTTGGGAGACTGTTGCTCTACGACCTGAGACAACACTTCTTTTTCTCCCTCCTTTGCTTTCATCCCATTCACGACATCCCGATCAAGGTAATGTATTATAAAAGAGTGCTCTTGTTGGCTGTGTAGTTCTGAACACGCATTGTCAGGGTGTGTGTGTATATCCAAGTGTTGAGGAATGAGCGTGGTTGGTGGTTGGTGGTTGCCTTGGCGATACCGTTGCTTCCTCTTGTTCGTTGCTATTCCCACTCTACGCTTGGTGTCAACAGGTACATTCAGAGTACAACGTTGCAGCCGAATTGGTTCCATTGACGTGTTAGCTTATATAGGGGGCAAGTTTGGTTTCAAGACGTTGGCTGGTTTGGCGTTCTGTTTCGGCTCAACAACACCACACCATGGTCTTCGGTCTCTAACAACCAGCAGCAAAGGATCTTTATGTCTATGGCAAAGGCAAGTGCAATGAAACAAACAATGAAAAGAGGCGTTTTATTGTACGTGTGTGCTAATAATGAATTGAATAGATTTCTTTGGTCAGGCAATGCAACTTGGGGCATCATCATCATCTCTTTGGGTTCAAGTCCCAGCCTGTATCAAGTGGCCGCTGTGTCGCTCTGCATTAGCCAAGTGTGCTGGAAAAGCTTCTTGGAACGCGTCCAGGACTCTATAGGCCTACGTTGAGTTGATGGGTCGATGACGATGGGTTTTTGGAAGAGCATGGTCACCGTGTTGAGGTAAAAGGGGATTTGCAACAGCTCGTGAATGTGTTGAACCAACACGCTCTTCTCGTGATAGGCTCGTTCTTTCCCTTGAGGATTTCTTTTCATGAGGTGGGAAATGATTGGAAGGATTGGGGATCATTCTTTCTTTGGAGAGAATGAATGAGGACTTGCCATGGATCGAACTGGCCTTGTGTGATTCGTGCAGTGCTTTCTCAAAGACAAGTGATCGCCCGACGTTGCTCGTATGGTGGTGGTTTGGTTTGTGAATTCCTTCTGATTTGCTTTCTTCCTTTGAGAGGATCGCCTAGCGGTATCTAACTTGGCTGCTTTTTATTTATAGAGACGACCATTATGATGATTACCACATTCACAACAATGACGATTACAATGATTACCACATTCACAGCAATGACAATGATAACGACAACGAGATTCAAAAGGAAACCTGCAAGATCCCATTCTTTTCTACTTGCGTGTTTTGGATATTGGTGACGAGCAGATTGACGACTGTAGACAAGTACGAGTACGAATACGAATGATGACCGAAGACGAAGACGAGGATGGTGACACTACTTGGACTTTGCTAGCTTGTGGATTACATAATGTAGCTTGGAAGATGGAATAATAAAGGTGGTTCGCTTATGTATGGTTCATGCAAGAAGTATATGCCTTTGGTGATACAATAAGGAGGAGTGGGATGACCTTGAGAAGAGAAAAAGTGAACCATCAATAACATCTTACTCCATGTCCGTGCGCACTGAATTCATTATTGGGTCTACATGTACAAATTGGTTTATGCAGCTCGACCTTTCCCTACATCCAAATGTGTTATGGAACCATTATTATTGCCTTCCTTATTGGATGATGTATACTCCAACTTACATACATACCTTCCTAGAGACAATCATCATCACCATCCACTTGTGCAACAACCTGTGAAGGACGTGCGTGTGTAACCACCAAGTGCCATTGCACTCAGTTCTCCATCTTTCCGTTAATGCAGCCGACACCATCCAGCATCCACTAGGAGAAGCAACTACACCACGCTTACAGCATATGCAAAACATAAAGGCACTTGTATCTCTAAACTTTACAATCAAACATGTAGTTTTTAATGGAGCAATGGGCTCGGCTTGGCCAACAGCACCTTGTGTGCAAGTTTCACGTTCATCGTGGCCAATCCCAGATTTCGTAATGTCGCCACCAGCCAAACTGGATCCAGGGGGTCGACCTCTTCGGCGACGACGACCAAAAAAATATTTTTTGGGCTAGTTGCGACATTGAACGTGAAACTTTCACACAAGGTGCTGTTGGCCAAGCCGAGCCCATTGCTCCATTAAAAACCCCATGTTTGATTGTGAAATCTTGAGATATGGGCGTCTTTATGTTGTGTGCGTGATGCTATATGACAAGTGGTCTTTGTTCATTGTCAAGTAGGTGGACCCTGGCAGAGCAAAAGATGCAGAGGGACGTGTTTGTGTAACTGGGTTAAAAAGTTTGGACTTCAGGGACCATGCATGACAGGTACGCAACCCTCATTTTCAGGTCATACATTGGCAGCTAACAGCCACTTTTGTGCATTCCCAACTTTTGTGCATTCTATTGTAGGTGGACGATGCTCCTGCTCTAGACATTCATTTCCATGATTCAAGTAGCTTGATCCGAGCTGATTTGGTTGAGTTACGGTCGAACAAGGATTAATCAGCTGAGACATTCGCACGTATGCTGATGTATGGATTGATGTAATCTCTCTTTGACCGTAGCTCAGTCAAATCAGCTCGGATCAAGATAATTGAATCATGGAAATGAATGTCTGGAGCAGGGGCATCGTTCCCATGCAATGGACCTCGCAACAATGATGATTGGATAAAAGTGGCCGTTAGCTAGCAATACATGCCTGTTCCTAGATGATCCATAAAGTAATTATACATTGACCCTTTCATTCATGCAAACGTAGCTGTGTTACACAACACGACCCTCTGCATCTTTTGCTCTGTCAGGGTCTAGCTACTT